GTGCCTGTGAAAATTTCAAAACCATGAGTGTGTTCGAAGACCCCCAATATTAACAATTGATTAAAATACAAGGTATGGTGTGCCTGTGAAAATTTCAAAACCATGAGTGTGTTCGAATCTCCAAGACCCCCAATATTAACAATTGATTAAAATACAAAGTATGGTGTGCCTGTGCAAATTTCAAAACCATGAGTTGGTTTTCGTTTGAGTAGGCGTGTAAGAGTGTGGTTTAAGAAAACCAAATAAGGGACAATAATTGTTTTCACCCCAAATTATAGAACAACTACTCCATTGAATTCCCCTTCCAAATAATAGCATGCTTTAAAAAAACTTATGACCAAGGTAGAATTTGTTATTCCTTTCAATTTTCTCCCTTTTTTTCTTTCTCCTTACCTTCTATTATTTCTCGGGTAAATGGCAAGGTTGGTCACTGAGATTACTAAAAACGTTCAAATTTTGTCACTAAAAATATTTAATTCCATTCGTGGTCACTAGATTTAGTAAAACATGACATATTTGGTCACTCTCCGTCTAACTCCGTTGATTCTGTCTGATGTGGTAGTCAACTCTCAAAATTGACCGTTACATACGTGACAATTAAAAAATTAAAAATAAATAAATTTCCGCCTTATTATTATTATTATTATTAAAATTACATTCGAATTCTCTAAACCTAACCCGAGATTTCTAGCTCTCACAAATCCCAAATCCTGGGTCGCGGCGAAGGGAAAGGGATGGTTGCGCCAGAGCAGTGGTGACACAGAGATTGAAGGTGTGACCGTGTGAGGAAAGAAGAGGCAAGGTGGAGCTCTCGACTGGAAGCCGACAAGCCGCTACCCGTGATAATGATGTCGAAATTTTAAAATTTTTTCTTCAATTTTTTAATTGTCACCTCATACATTTAACGGTCAACTCTGAAAGTTGACTGCCACATCAGACAGAATTAATGGAACTGAGCAGAAAGTGACCAGACATAACATGTATTATTAAACCTATTGACCACGAATAGAGTTAAATATTTTTAGTGACTAAATTTGAAAATACTTAATACTCTAAGACTCTGAGTAACCAACCTTGCAATTTACCCATTATTTCTCCTACATGAAATAGGAGTTGATGGAAGTGGAACCCAACGAATTGGGTGACTTAAATTTGGATCCAACCTCCGCTCAGATGAAAGGAACAATACTAGTAGTGATAAGTGATAACCTACCAGTCCCGTGGGAACAAAACTATAGCCACGTGGTTCGCGTGGAATTGAATTATTCTAATGTATTCAATAATTCTAATGTGATAAATCATTGATTATTTTCTACTTTCTAGTCATCCTCGAGAAAAAAAGAAAAACCTTTGTAGTATTAAACTATTAATACTTGGAGCAGTTATTCAGAATTTCAAATTTTTTAACAAAAATAGGACGGATAAATTAAGTAGTGGAGCCAGCATGTACGAGGGTGGGTTCCGAGACCCACCTCGGCTCGGATTGGACATAAAAAATAACAACATTTGTACACAACTCATAATACTTAAGCTCAACACATGTTCACTAGTTTTACTTGTTTAGCAACATATTGTAATGAACTTTGTGGCACATATTAATCTTGCAATCTAGTTTTTACTTAAATTTGTGTCTCTCATCCTGCTTCCCTCTAGGCCTTTACCAAGGTTGTCAAATCCCTATCAGATCCCCGGTTGAACCCGGTCCGACCTAAGTCGGGCTTCAAAACAGTCTCCAGAAAGGCCTCTGATCCCCTAAAGATAGAGAAGAAGAGAGGGGGAAGAGAGGAAGAGGACCGAATGAAGGGAGATGGTGGGTGAGTCATGGAGGTTATGTAGATTTAGGTTGTGGAAAATAAGTTTTTAATAGATACATGTAAGATAAATTTTATTTCAGTCATTAAATCTTTAATTACTACCTTATTTGTATATATATTTAGAAAAAGTCTACACCGGCCGGACCCTGATCAGACCATTAAAACTCAAATCCTTTGCTGACCGGTTCAATGACTTAAACCGGTTTGACAACCTTGGCCTCTACTAATCCCAAATCAAGCCAAAGAACCAGAGAAATCCGGCCAGCAGAGGCGCGCGTGCCATTGTCTTGGTTTATTTAATTGGTTGATTTGGGATATAAATAAGGGTTGATAAATAAAATAATTAAAACTGGAATTAGGAGTAAAGGAGGGGCAATTGGGTCATTTCCAATCCCCTTTTACCATCACTTAACAGAAAATTAGACAGAAGGTTAAACTTGTTACTTTTTAATATTAGGAAGGGTTCGTTTGTGCAAAAACTTAATAGAGGGATACGTTTGTTAATTTACAATAGTAGAGGGGTACAAAATGCTATTAACTCTTTAAACAACACTGGATCTTATGGCAATCAATCTGGGTAATTTGGCTCATTGTCATGACTTATATTGGTATTAGACTAGACTTAACTAACCAAGCATAACTTTTTCGCAATTTTATTTAACATACCATATTACTTTCGTTTTATGGCAACATTTAATTTTTTTTTACAGAAAATTAGATTAATTGAGTTCTTAAAAATGATATTCACTTTCATATATTTTGGAACAAATGAAATAACTAAGAGTTGTACACTCTATCAAATGACTCGTTTGCCAACAAAAAACAAAACGAGTCATTCACAAATGAATCACCCCAAATAGCTCATTTTATTGTCGTTACTTTCAATCTTAACCCTCCCATTTTTTCATATACCCCAATACTAATCTTTCTTTATTTTTCTTCATAAACCCAATACTTCCCAAGTATTTTTCAATGAATATTCGATAATGTTTTGAAGACCAGTTTCAAATATAGGTTAAACTTGATTGTAAAATTTTATACTTTGTGACCGTTATAATTTTTGAACTATATTAACATAAAATTATCGTTCAAATATAAAATTTGGTATTTCTTTTGATAATAAGGTACATGTAATTTATTAAGGACTTAAAGTCTCCTTAACCAAAAGGCTTTGGAGGAAAAACGGTGGTCTGGAATCCCATACCTCTTGGACTTCCCAGTTACACAAAACATGCGCCATACAGTGGGTCATTTCATTCCCAACCCGTTTAGTAAAACTCCATCTAATGGACCCGATGTGTTGGGCTTCATCTTGAATCTCTTGGACTACCTGACCCGATTCCAATTTCGTTCGATCCGCCTTTTGGAGAGCAAAAAATACAGTCTGGGAATCCATCTCCAGCACCGCTTGTCGATATCCACTCCTTTCCAGCTGCTGCAATCCAAATTCCACCACCATAATTTCCGCTATCTCCGGCGGCCAACAATTCCTCGTCCGGCGAACAGCTGCTCGCAGAAACGCCCTGTTCTCGTCCCTCGGTACCATCCTCAGGCCTGTTCCTTCCTTGCATCACCACCGCGTCAACATTCACCTTCACCCATCCCTTCGGTGGTTTTGTCCAGGTAACCTCTTCCGCTTCTCGGTGCTGCTTTCCTTGCTATGATAGGAATTGAATTCCTCATAGTAGTCTAGGGCCTTCCCAACCACTTCCCATTCCTCCGTCTTTTTGCGATTGAACATATGGTTATTTCGTTCATTCCACATCATCCATAGTATTAGCGCAAATTGGTCCATCATTGCATCGTCCACTTTCTCCATAACCTCACACATCCAGCTTCCGACGATATTTCTGGTTCCATCTCAAAAAGGGGTCTAAGATGATTGTCGTCATACTCGGATCGCCCACTGACACTCACGAAAGATATGGTTATGGGTTTCTCCCAGATGACAAAATGGGCATTCCGTAGCAGCTTCTTTCTTTCTAATTTCAATGTTTTTCCCTGTCGGTAAGATGTTGTGCACTAGTTTCCAGAGAATTTTTTTTACCTTTGCTGGGATTGTAAGCCTCCACGTCTGCTTCCAGTTCATGGGATCATACACCTCTACATCTTGCCCTGTCACAGTGTCACCTCTTCCCCCTCGTCGTCATTCTGATTGGCTTCCTCCACGCCCACATTCCTGGTTCTACAAGCTAGCCTATATGCTGTTTTAACAGGGTAAACTCATGTTCTTTCATGGCTCCACACACTCTCATCCACAGTAGGCTGTCTAGGAATAGGGATTCCAGTGATCCTTTTCCCTATCTGTAGGATTGAAATAGTGATGTAGATAATTACCTTTCCACATTCTGTTCTCATGGTCGATGAGATCAGAAACTATCCTCACCTTATCAGATTCCACTTCAGATGTTTGTTGGTGATGCAATGGCTGTATTTGATAAGGTTCGCAACGATGTAGTATTGGATGCTTGTGGGGGTGCCATTTTGGGAGACATAGATGGTCTCAGAGAATATTTACAGTGTTTAAATGTCTGCTTTATTGGTCAGGTTAGAAACATGGCTACCCATTTGGTAGAGAAAAATACCCTTCTACTTATTTCCCAGTTTATTAGGGTTTAATTTTGACGTCCTGTTTCAGGACAGTATATTGATTTTGATACGTTTTCTTTCCTCGATTATACGAATTATCTAATGATAAGAAGAAAAAAAGTAAATATATACATCATCAAATATCAAAATTTGGCTAACTACCCTATCTTCCTTCTTCTACTTTCTTCCTCGTGACAGCAACAGCTTCAATGGCCACTTTGCTTCCAAGATCAGGCTGCTGCTAATTGTTATTTCCTTCATTATACATGCGGCCTCTTTCCTTCCACATGACCACATCCATGGTAAATGGCTAATTGCTACAGAAAAGATGAGTCCCAAGGTTGTCAACCCGCGGGTTGACCCGGATCCGATCGAGCTAGTGAGTCAAGGGTTAATGGGTCACCCGTTTTAGCTCGTTTCAGCCCGAAAATATAAAAAGAGTTATTATATTGTACTTATCCTGATAAATTATATCAAATCTCATATAACATACGAGTAATAACATGTAACATTACACCAAAGTAACATGTTGTACTTAGATCCAACATATAGTGAAAATTCACAAACACTTATATAACATTAGCATTCAAATGTTCAACTAAGGATTCCAAAGATTGAGTTAGGCGAAAAGAAAAATAGGAAAATAGGCGCATTTCTTAAACCAAAGAAAAAAATGACACAATTTGACCTCGAACCCGATACCTTTAACGATCGACCCGGCGGGTGCGTGCAACCCGTTTTTCTCATCGAGTCAGAGTCAAAGTGGGTCGACCCGTGGGTTAACAATCTTGATGAGTCGCCTTCTTTTCTAGAGAAAAAAAAAGGCGTAGGTCCCTTTTCAATCAATAAAAGATGGATATCATAATAATCACTCCATTCTCAAGTCTCAACTGTGTAGAGTAGACCCAGAGCAAGGCAGGAGACAGACTCGCAGCGTCGTCATCATCAACTTAACCACCCCTCTTTTATATCTTCCAGCCTGTGGACCAGAAGCTCACTTCCTTCCTTCCCCACTTCCCACCACCATTATAATTCCCTTCAATTCTTCCCAATCTCTTTACCCTCTGCCTCCCTTTGATGTTCATTCAACTGGGTTCTTTCTCAATTAGTTCCTTCTACAGCAATGCCGGCGTGCTTCAGCTTGACGGAGACCAGGAACTGGTGTTACAGATCAGCCTTCTCCTCCTCGGGGCTCCGATCCACCGTCTCGGACCTCCAAGACGGCACCGTAATCCACTGCTGGGTACCCAAATCGCCCGACCCGACAAAGCCCAACCTCCTCCTCATCCACGGCTTCGGCGCCAACGCCCTGTGGCAGTGGGGGGACGTCATCCGCCACTTCGTCCCTCACTTCAACCTCTACGTTCCCGACCTCGTCTTCTTCGGCGACTCCTTCACGACCCGACCCGACCGGACCGAGGCTTTCCAGGCCCGGTCCCTGATGCGGGCCCTGCAGCGGCAGCCCAGTCCGGTCCGCAAGCTCAGCGTCGTCGGGCTCAGCTACGGCGGGTTCGTGGGCTACAGCATGGCGGCCCAGTTCGGGGACGCGGTGGACAGAGTGGTGATCTGCTGCTCTGGGGTTTGTATGGAGGAGAAGGATTTGAAAGAGGATGGGATCTTCAGCGTTTCGGATTTGGAGGAAGCGGCGAAGATTCTGGTCCCGCAGTGTCCCGATAAGCTGAGGGAGCTTGTGGGTTATGCTTTTTTCCGGCCGCCGCCGGTTGGTTTGCTTCCCCCTTGCTTGCTCACCGATTTCATCGAGGTAGGTGGAATAAAAATCGATCACCCATGTTTGAAATTTTGTTGGTGGAAAGAATGAATGTGACTTTTTTCTTCTTCTGTTTGTTTCCCTGTTGTTGAAGTCGATGTGTGGGGAATACACGGAAGAGAAGAAAGAGCTGCTGAAAGCTATTCCCAAAGGAAGGAAGCTCTCCGACATTCCCAAGATTTCTCAGCCGACACTGATCATCTGGGGAGAGAAAGATCAAGTTTTCCCGGTGGAGCTTGCTTACAGGATGAAGAGGCATTTGGGGGAGAATGCAGAGCTTCAGGTGATCAAGAATGCAGGGCATGCTTTCAACGTAGAGAAGCCCAAGGAGTTCGTCAAGCTCTTGAGAACATTTCTCGTTGATTCCTACAGCTCCAAGTTGGCTTCTTCAGGAAAAGCCTCGAATCCCAATCACAAGCATACCGAAGAATGCAATGGTACTGCGACTGCTTCTCACTGAATCGTGGATACCTGCGTTGTCCATTCACCAACCTCGTCATTATTGGCAATTCTGTTGCTTTCCTGATATAGCTCTCAATCCCCATTGTTGGTTAGATTGAAACTTTGAATCACAGACAACATCGAAACATGATTGCAAGGGGAAACTACAATCAACTCAGTTTCAAATTCGAGTTTCTTTGTGTTCTTGGAGATAAAGAAAAACACGACATCGAACAGCCTGTGATGGGATGAATCTTTCACCGCATTAGATTAATCGGTCACACCGCTTATCTACTTGTATAACTCCTGCAAACAAGGATTAATCTTCGCCCAAGGCCTTCCTTCCCCTCCCAACATGAACCCAGACCTTTCAAAAGAATTGCAATGCTCTCCCGGCTAATTCTGCAAAATAAAAAAAGCCCAGCAAGGCATGATGAGAGTATGAACAGAGCAAGCAAGAAACCAAAATGGTGACTTTTAAGATTTTCAAGGTTAATGAACGTGTAGCAAAAGCAACCACATCAAACACTGTCAAGGTTCAGAGCTCATAGTTTGGTTACCCCTGCTTCTGCTTCTGCTTCATCACCTTTAGACGGCTCACCTGACAATTTTGTTACCAATGTAAGAAAGATTGTGTCTTGACAAGTTTTGGTCATCAGCTCAAACAAAAAAGCAGAAACTTTTGGTCATCCAACAAGGTCTAGAAATGTCCCTATAGATCCCACTGAAAGCAACTAATGAAGCATCAACCACAACGTCTCTTCCTTCCCAAACAAAGTTGTTTGAACCAGTTATGGAGATATACTACTGGCCGGTTGTACCGGTCCACAAAAATACCGTTAGCCAAGCTGGTGTACACTTCATTGCTGTTTTGTAACAATTTTTACGGGACTATGTGATTGTACCTCTATAATACAATGAAGCATTTGTCTCACAGGTCTGATCTCCAATACGGTGTCACAATCCATGGTTTTTTAAACCCTTTGTCATTCATTCACCCGCTCAAAAGAGATGGCTATATATTGAAAGAGTAACCTCCATCATAGTAGAATCTGAAATTTTGGTTTTTGCCTTTTTGGTCATCTGTGTTTTAAGTTCTTTTGCAAAACTGGAACTTATAGCACATCGAATTTAAGCTTCAATCCCTGAACTTAAAAAAGAGCCCAGCATAGATAGCAACATTCAAGCACTGACAAGTCTGGTACTCAAGAAGGTAATAGACAATGCTCGGCTTACCTCCTTCCTCGGGCAGATCTGTGGTCCACAAAGCGAGATTATCCCTAAGCAGCTGCATGATGAGGGTACTATCCTTGTACGACTCTTCATTTAGACTATCGAGTTCTGCTATAGCTTCATCGAAGGCTTGTTTAGCAAGATGGCAAGCCCTACACAAAAACATGTACTATTTGTCTTAGACAACACACAAGTTATCCACAAGTTCATTGAAATTGAGAGTGGAGGAAATAGCTCGCCTTATGGGGCCAGGAAAGTGGAAACAGAAAGATATAGAGAGAAGCTTGCTAACCTTTCAGGAGAGTTCAAAATCTCATAGTAGAAGACTGAAAAGTTCAGAGCTAAACCAAGCCTGATTGGATGAGTAGGCGGCAGATCTGATGCAGCAGTTGAGGTGGCAGCCTGCAACATAACAACATAACATGAGTCTCAACCCAGCTAAAAGCCCCATTAGCATAAAGAAATAAGTTACACATGATAAACGAAAACAAAAGTTCAGAGATGAAGAAGCCCTGTAAATACCTCGTACGCCTTGAGTGATTGATCAGCAGCTTCTTTGCGATCATCAGTACCCTTGAACTCTGCCAAATAACGACAATAGTCACCTTTCCTGCAACAATAAAATCAAAATTTGCATATTCGTAGCCAATAAACTGCCTCTATAAATGTTTGAAAACCGCATATCACAACTTGTGAATCTCACAAAGGAATGGTTTGACTTTTTTTGTGAATCTCACTCACATCTTATAGTAAAACACGGTCGACTCCCCTGACGTGGCTGAGGGAATAAGATGCTGATCAATGACCGACAGTATGTCATTACAAATCTTTGCAAGCTCATCCTCAACTCTCTGCCTGTACTCTTTGATCCTCTTCACATTTTGTTCATTCCCCTTGGCCTCTTCCTTTTGTTCGATCGAGGACAATATACGCCAGGATGCCCTCCTTGCTCCAATCACATTCTTGTAACCCACAGAAACCAGATTCCTCTCCTCCACTGTCAGTTCCAAGTCCAACCTAGCAACATTCTTCATTGCTTCGACCATCTCTGAAAGTAGTAGGAGTGGAAGAAGCAACAAAATGAGCAACCAACTCAGTGAAGATTCAAGAAACACATGATCAAGCAGCTTCAGAAGCTTCATAACGTACTAACATACTAGCACAACCAAAAACAGAGGACTTAAAAGACAACCCTTGCGTTCCTGACAAGGAACATGATGGTGTTGCACTGAAACAACATTTCACACATCAAGAGTCAAGACGAGACAAAACCATTGGCGATTGATGGTGTTGCACTGAAGCAACATTTCAGTGCATGAACTTCTAGAAAAAACACTGGTCACAATTGCCATGAACCTCAATAGCATTATCATTGCCATAGCTCTAATCAACAATGTTATCAAAGAATTTTTTCTTCAATTAGGAACCAGTACTAATTGCAATCAATACAAAGGAAACAAAGCGACATTTTTCTGCAGCTTAACCCAGAAGCATATGGGGAGAATCTCAACTTTACCACATAACAACAACGGCAACAAAGGGAACCAAAAATCTAAAAGAATCAACCAAGTTACCGAGGAGCTGAATACCCATAACAGAACAGGTCTAACTTTTATCCCTCGCAAAGACTGCGAGTGAACACAGTAAAGACACTGCATTTCACTGGGAAAACAAAAACAAAAAAGGTGATGAATCCAGTGTTACAACTTACAAGGAGAGTACCCAGATCCACCAAGTCTTCGGAAATGAACATACCAAACTCACAAGCCAAAGATGACAACGCTAACTATCCTCAAGGAAAAACCCGTCATACCCATGCACAAAAAAATCAGGCCCAATGCTCAAACAAACGCAAAGTGAGCACTGAGCAGCCATTAAGAGCAGAAAAAGACAGGCATGAATAGATCCAAAAGTTTTCCCGGAATAAGAGGGGGGCTTAACCGTCATATCTTTCGGCTTGCTCAGCGAGCCTAGCCAAGTAAACCTGCTGTTCTCTTTCCTTCTCCATCGCTTGTGCTCACTCCGCCTGTGAAAAATGCTGCTCGGATTTTTGGGTTCGAGCGGTTCTGGGTAAGCTGATTTGGAAACTGCCGGTTAGTGCTGACTCCGAGGAGAAGGGAAAGTGTGCGAACTGGGGCCACAGGGACGGATTGGGAGAGGGAGGGGGTGTTGGACTTCGAGGTCTTGATCTGACTTCTGACTTCTGAGCCGTCCGTGGTAGGGTAATAGAGGAAATGAACCGTTGGATGGAGGAAGAAATAGGTTGGTGTGCATGGCAGGAGATGTTGCCCAGTAGCAAAAGACGAAGTGCACTTTTCACGACACGACTAACGAGTATGTGCGGCGGTGGTGGGATACACTGTACATGTACATCGATGGAGAACTGTTGGGCTGCAACGGCGGATCAGCACACAGCACTGGGGGCATATTTTGAAAAGAAGCAGAGTCGGTTGGACGGTAACTCGACGAAAACTTAAATGAATAACGAAATAAAAAATTTACAAGTGATATACTAACTTTGATCCAGAGAAGGGCTGGGGGCGGCCCCCGTGGATCCGCTGCTAGCTGGCGGGCACCACTCCGTCGTAAGGTTGCCCACCATCCTTTTACTAAAAAAACACAACTTGATTATGGTGCTCACAATAGGTCCTTCTAAATGTTCGAGACACTTAGGCGTTGTTTGCTTCGTGGATTTGAAAAATGAAAATTTTGATATACTTTGGGTTTTGAAAAAGACCAATTACACTTGTATAGCCAAAACTTTGACGTTTGTGACAATAATAGCCAATTTTGGGGAAATACCAAGAATAGCCAGAAATTTGAAAATTGGATGACAATTATAGCCATTTTTGTTACATAGTTTGACGGCGTCAGTGACACCGTTAGTCTAATTAACGGAACGATGATCTGGCTGCCAACTCAACTTATCTTTCCTTTCCACTTCAACATCCACTGACATGTGGGATGACACGTCACATTAAAAAATTTAATTTTTTAACAAAATTGTTTTTATTTTTATTTTTTATTTCATATTCTTTCCCCTGACTTCATCTTCACCAACAAATTTTAATTATTTTCCACCTAACATTATTTTTTAATAAAATATGTCACGCCAACCACTGCGGTTAGTCCAGCCAGCACGTTAATTAACACCGTCAAACAATTGAACGGAATTGGCTATTTTTGGTATTTCGCCAAAAGTGGCTATATTTGGCAAGACCGTCAAAGTTTTGGCTATGCAAGTGTATTTGGCCTTTGAAAAATCATAGATACTTGAAGCAAACAATGGATTTTGTCCAACATCCATCATGGATCTAAATCAATCTCCAAATTCTTCATCAAAACCATCAAGCAAACAAGCCCTTAGATCCGATCATAAGTGATATGTACTGGTAGATATAAAAAAGAGGTAAAGAATCAAAATTTACTTTTTTCATTATCAAATTATCGCCTATTGATAACATCCAAAAATGAATGTTATTTTGCCTCATATGAGTTGTTTGGATGTCAAAATTGATTATATTTCGGTCATTTTGAGTTGATTTCGTTTCATATTGCTCAAATGTTCATACCCTAAGATTTAACTGTTTTGAAATGGCTAAATTGCAAGTTTGGTTACTAGAATTACTTAAAAATTTCATGTTTGCCACTAAAATTAATTAATTCCATCCGTAGTCACTTAAATTAGGTTAACAGTTCAAGTTTGGTCACTGGCCGTTAGTCTCCGTTAACTTTTGCTGATGTGGCGGTCAACTCTTATAGTTGACCGTTAAATGAGTGACGTGGCAATTAAAAAACTAACAAAATAATTTAATTTAATTATTTTTTATTTCCACCTAATTATTATAAAATTAAAAAAATCCTTATTTCTTTTAATTATTATTTTCAACTGCCCGTCGCCGTTCCTCTACCCTCCGGTCGACGACCTCTCCCGGCCGGCTAAGCCCCGCGCCATCACCGTCTTGGGCCTCCTCATTTCCGCCAAAGGCCGACCCCCACCACCCCCGCTTCTGCTACTATGCTCTGTCGATTTCGCCGAGTCGATTTTCGAACTCGAAATGGGACTCGGTGTCCACAGCTGCGTCTTTGTGGAGGATATGCTTGATTTCTCTGCAGATAGAGATTCTTTTACCTTTCTCGGAATCGGAATTGTACCGAGTGGCGGAGGAGGAGACGGAGGTGGTGGTGGAGCGGTGGCTTCACTGGGCGCGAAGTCGTTTAACGATTGAAGGAGTGTCATATTCGGCGTCGGCGTCGGCCCCGAGAATTTTGGTTTTTTTTAGTGATACGAACTTGGCTGCTCGTTGTGCTGAGCTCCACTCTCATGCGGCGGCAGCGGCGGCCGTCGATGTGGAGGCTCCGATGATGGCTTCTTAATTGAAGGAATAATCACATGCTTCATTTCGGGAGAAGAAACAGAGGAAGAAAACCTCGATTTGGGGGAAGTTCTCTTCAAGTGAGGAACAAATACAGAGGAACCATTATTACTTCCATTGATTGACCTCAAAAGAGCTGCCATCGTTGCTTTTAGAGTAATGTCGTCGCGTAGAACCCGAAACAGGAGTGTAGAAGCCGTCGTTATTGCTCATGGCGGAGCCCGCCGGCGTGTAGAACGGCGTGTCGTTGTTACTCTCTTCACTAGAGGCTGATGAAGTCGGAGATCCGAAGCTCTCGTACTCTGGCCTTGGAGCAGCTGCAGCAGCAGCAGAGACTGGACGAGGAGGAAGACGAGGATGGATATTCGAAGAAGCAGCTGCGGAAGGAGGTTTCAGCAATGACGGCAGCGGCTGCAACTCAGGATTGGATCTGTACCGATCAGATCTCTTGGTATAGTTCAGCTTATGGTAGGGAAAATAATAATTAAAGAATTAGGATTTTTTATTTGTTTATAATAATTAGGTGGAAAATAAAAAATAATTAAATTAAATTATTTTATTAATTTTTTAATTGCCACGTCACTCATTTAACGGTCAACTATAAGAGTTGACCACCACATCAGCAAAAGTTAACGGAGACTAACGGCCAGTGACCAAACTTGAACTGCTAACCTAATTTAAGTGACTACGGATGGAATAAATTAATTTTAGTGGCAAACATGAAATTTTTAAGTAATTCTAGTGGCCAAACTTGCAATTTAGCCGTTTTGAAATTCTCTCCTATTGATAACATCCAAAATATATGTTCTTTTGCCTCATATTTCTTAGTTATTTGAATGTCATAATCATCGTACTTCAGTTATATTTCGGGTTTATTTCGTGTCATATGGCTCGTAACTTGCTCGTTCTCATCCTATTCTATGCTAGGTTGTGTTTTCTTATTTTCCTACTTGCATGTCCTGGCAATATAAAGGAGGGGTGTAGCAAGTTTTGTGCCAATCGGGAGTCATTTGAAGGTTGAAAAGAAGAAGTGAAGCATACCCAAAGTCAGGTCACGGGTGTGACCCAAACAGTGGCTTACTTCACAACCAATCTTTACGATCGTGAATTCTCATTCTGCGATCAAGAACTCCATTTTAGACCGAGAACACGATGAACAACAAGTACAGAAGGTCATGTGACCAGCTCCGCGACCATGGCAAATCAAACCATGAGATAGAGGTCTCGTACGCGAGAAAATGTTCATGTGCGTGAACTTGGTGAAACCAACCCTCGTGCTCACGGCTTGGGCCACAGCCGTGAGCCAACCCTTGAGTTGTGTTGGCTTTGAAATTTTTTTCGGTTGTGAACTCCCTCGAACTTTAGGTCGTGAACTTTGACATGTGCACGGGTATATAAGTACTTGTGGGTTGTTTTGTAGCAGAGAGAGAGAGAGAGAGAGAGAGAGAGATAGATGTAGGGTTTCAGATGTTGATCGACATTGGCGAGTTTGGAGAGGTTTTGAAGGATTTCTTCTTCATTCTAACCCCAAATCCTCCCAAGATGCAAGAGGGGTGGCCAAGTCAATAAGAAGAAGATGAATATAGCTCAAGATTTGTGTTCATTTTCTCTTCCATACTCTCTCTCTATATATATATATATATATGAATTAGATATGGAAATCAAACTTGCAACTGCGGGTAGCTAATTCCCCGCATTAATTGGGTATGGACAAAACCCGCAAAAAATTTGATGGGGATGGGGCGAGTACGATTTTAGGCTCCAGTGCCCCATGCCCATACCCATACCCCGCCCCACCAATTGTAACTTATCTATGAAAAAATGGTAATTAAAAAAAATAGTTGAAATATAATTGAGTGGTAATTCAAACCATACCTCAATTTCTTTTCGTCAAATTCTCCATTCACACCTTCACTTCTTTCTCCCTTTTAACTTTTAGTTATTTATTTACTTAGTAAATGAGTCGGTGTTGTAGATGCATGACTTGGATAATATTTTAGTTTTTCTTATGGATTGATGGATGTTTTAGAATTGAATACGTTGAATTCGTATTAAAATATTTGTATAGTTGTTGATTTCCTTATGTATTAGGTATGCTTCGTGTTATAATGAAAGATCTACATGTCGAATTTTAGATATATTGATGTTATTGATGTTGGATGTATGAGGAGGCGGGTATCACCCACGGGTATCTAGAAAACCGTGGGTCTGTGAATGGGGATACAACACCCCCCCCCCCCCCCCCAGTTATTGGGGCGGCCTTGGGATGGAATTGGTCTGGGAAAACTCGCCCCAAACTCGACATATTACCATCCCTACTATGAAGTAAATCTTTGTGTTGGTTAGATGTAGAACTCAAGTAGATGTTTGCTGGGGATTTTATTGTATGGATTAGAGTACATTGATTCTCCTTCAAATAATTATCTATGTTCATCTTGATGCATGATTCTTGGGTGTTATTTGTGTGATCGTGACTTTTCTCAAATATCTAGGGTTGGACCCACCATAGTTGTGGGGGATTTTTGTGTGCGACTTAATCATAGCCTCACATAATTTATCATACCATATGTCTATCAACTGATTGCATGAAATTGAATTCAAATTGTGCGTGTGGGTACCCGCAAAATGTGGGGCGGGTAACCACACTCACTCTAATTTCCACCCCTAATATTATCTATTTCTTCCTGTAAAAAAGTTAAATATATACGTTATTTTTAAAATAATCAATCTGACCTGCGGTTAGTACAAGACGGGTATTGGACTATTGGTAATTTGGTATTGAGCTATTGCCTTGTCCCGCATTGCCATCGCTAGCCGCGAGGCGTCCAGTCTGTCTCTTTTCCCTCGCTATCCCACCTTCAAAACTTCCCCTCCTCAAGTTCCCAACTTCACATTCACAAAGTAAGGGTTTCTACTTTTCCACAGTCGCATCTCCTCTCTGCACTCAACCACGCATCTCCGCCGTAAGCAAATTTCAATTTTGCGTTCAATTCCACTTCCATATCCCTCAAGTTTGGTTGCGCGCGCACTCCATAGCCACAATCGCCGAAAGTTAGTTTTCCTTTCAGGATGGACGATTCTCCAGACATTTTGTCTCAATTGAATATTTCCAAAGAGGTATGTGCCGGTTTCTCTACTAGGGTTTTCTTTGCTTGGGCTGTTTTCTGTTTTCAGATTATTGGTTCTATGTGGAGAGGTAGGAGTGCCTATTTCTTAGGTTACTAATCTGACAAATCACTTTCTTGTATTCTGTTTGTTGGGTTTTTTTCTAAAGGAGAAAGACAAGCTCGTTGCAGAAGTGATTCGCCATGTGCTTTTCAAGAATCACCAGAACTCAGGTTGCCCTATTAAGAGGGACGAGCTCATTCAGATAATTACTAGAAACTACCGTCAGCGGCAGCTTCCTAGTCTCGTCATTGAGGAGGCCACAGAGAAGCTTTCCTCCATTTTCGGGCTCGAAATGAGGGAGCTTCAGCGTGCTCGTCCCATGTCGAACAACCACAAGCGTGGTTCTTCTCAGCCAAGTATAACATAGCAAAGAAAACATGTTGTTGTGGTTTTTTCCGTTCTGATTCCGAGTTTCTAAGTTTCAGTTCTCTGTGTGAATTGAATTTCAGGCACTGCTGATGTTAAATCCTACGTGGTTATGAGCAAACTACCTGCTGATGTGTATGGGAAGTATGTTGAGGATGTTAATACTGCACATTTGACTGGATTTACCTTTGTTGTTATTAGCATTGTGCAGCTCGCTGGAGGCCAAATACCGGAAGGTACCTATCCCACTCTTTGATTTTTTACTACCAGTTTAGGCACTAGTGAAACCGATTGAGGCTATATAGATCATGCAATGGAGATGGATGGAACTAATTAATTTTCATAAAATTGTTAGTACTTAGATTGGGAGGCAATTTGCGTTAATTTTTTTATTTCATCGTTTGTCATTCATTCTTGTCATCCAGACAATCTTTGGTTTCAATTGACACGGTTGGGACTGCATGAGGCGGATGAGCATCACCCTGTCCTTGGAAATATTAAGCAGGCAGTGGAGACCCTGGTGCAGCAAAGGTATAATTAGGCCAAGTGTTTGTTTGAATCCTCCTTCTTTCTTTGTGACAATTATCAGAGATGAACAGTTGGCTTCTGTGTTAGTTTCTTTAGTGTCGATTGCCACCTTGAAAACTTAGCTGGGAGTAACCATCTACGATCGCATATATATTGCAGGTATTTGCAAAAGGGCAAAGTGAATGGCCCTGATGGTAGTTCTGTAACCTATGAGCTTGCTGAAAGGGCATTAGATCCAGTGAGTGAGAAAATTAAAGATTACATATCCCAGGTATTGTGTTTCAGAAACTTTGTGAAGATAAGAAAAACTCTACTTAAACTGATGCTGTAACATGATACTTACCGACGTTTGTGGTGGCAGGTTGCAAAGGAGGAGGTTGCTTTCGTAGAAGTCGAATGAACCAACTTTGCAGTCGGCTACTCACTAGAGGCAATAAACGGGATTTAGCCATTTTTGCAAGCAGACATCTTAGTTGTCCTACCATTGGATTCTTCTTGTTTCTTGCTCCATCTCTTGCAGCCTAAGTGTGAGTTTGCCTCTAGACATGCGGCGAATGCAGAAGTAAATAGTTGGTTGTTGGAATCTTTTTTGCTGAAACAATGGGCCTGTCCTCGAGTAACTTCATTTAGCTGCCCCTTAGATGATCTGGCTTGCATTGCTGGGATACGAGAAAACCAGTGATTTGAGATTTCTATGTTTGGGACTGACCTGACAAATCCTACTGTCCATTTTGTTTCGGCTGAGTGCAGCTGAGTTTTCATGTCAGGTTGCGTTTGTTTACTGATGGTTTTGTCTGGAAATTGTGCTCAGACGTACGTTGAAGAATACATGCCGTTCTAATACTTATATGCCGTTAGGTTAATACTTAAATTGTCCATTCATTTCCAACTCACCTAGAGAATCAATCATCTAACCAAAAAGATAAGCCCTCCCTAGCACGCACACAAGATCATAGTGACTTTATACAACCCTTGACCATTTACACTATCTCGGGATGGAAATTTGAACCCGCTTGTTGAGTATTACCCAACCTAATTTGCACTGGAGCGGGAATTATTCAATCTACAATAGTATGAAGTGGAACATGAATTACTACTTCAAATCTGACTCATTTTGACTCGCTTACAATCTCAATTTTTTTCAAAACTTTATCTTTCAATTATTTATACTCAATTATTCATTCTATTAACAGATAACCGATCCAATCGATATCTTCATCCTTACAAGTAAACGGATAATCGATCCAACTACTCGATCCAACTACTCCGTTAACCGGAAACCAAACCAATTACCACCACTACCCACAAATGCCTTCTAATAAGTAACAAATAAAGACACAATGTCACACGGTTTTCATTCCTGATAGCTTCAAAACCTATTCACAAGTTGGATTCAAATAATTGGTTTCTTTTCCAAAGGCCAAATGAATTGTATGATGCCTGAATATAAACAAATAAGAGAATTAATTGACCTTTACTACATTGTCAAAACATTACTTTTGTTGTATTGCATCTTAACCAAATATGAGCTTGAGCTTGAAAGGAGAATCAGCCAAAACCGAGCTCTCTAGACATACTCTACCCAGCACACCAGCCATGTAGCTTTCATCCATTTCCTTTTTTATCACCGACATTCCCGTATCTGCGAAGCTCCTCTGCTCGTGCTCGCTTCTCCTATTGATACCGTGGCAAGCGACTTTGAAGCCCAAGCTCTGGCGTTCATGGCGCCTTCTTGCAGGTTCGTTTTCCTGCTGCAAGGCCCCACAAGGCATTTGAACGCTTGGACGACATCATCCAGAAAGGCACGCGGATGATCAAGTATGCTCCCTATTCTGGGACAATGAAGGTGCCTCCTCCAAACAAGTTGAGAAAATGAGAGCAGACCAGGCAAAATCAAGTAGAGCAGTCTGAGGAGGACAAAGGCAGAGGCCAGAGCTAAATACGTCTCCTGCCTAAACAATTTCTCTGGAGACCTAGCCCAGGAGAAGGGGCAGCTTTCATGGTCATTGTTGTCATGCTTCCCACGCTTTGACGGGTGCCAGTTGTTGGTCAGAGTTGCTTTATCAGGTAATGTAATTGTTATACCTGGAAATAATAAGATCCTAAACGTAAAGTTCAATAGATTCACAAGTCTAATAATCCTACTTAGGAAATGCACGATAATTCAAAATGCTGACCCTAGTAATCATGTAGGCATCAAGTTTATTAGAATCTAGCCCACATACAATCCACAATGCTGTCGCTCGTAATTATGCTTCCATTGAATATGTTAGCATCTAATTGCCAACAACATGATATGATGCCGATACATACCCATAATCATCGAATAAACCATCGAAGAAACTAGGCTCAGAAAAGAGAATATTTGGGAACAAGGGACTGCTTATCTACTGGCATTCAAAACACACCCAGTCTTAACATGCTCACCACCTTGACAGTGTCTTTGGTTAGGTTTAAAAGAAAATGAATGCTATTTGTCTCAATGGAATACCTATGTTGCTATTATTATGCTATTATTTGAGGTGTAAACACATTGCTTGGTTCAGTACATTTATATAACAAATTGTGTCAGAATAGAGAACATAGCGAGATTGCATGTGCTATTCAATTCAAATATAATCGAATAATGTGTCAACAGAAAAGAAGGCCTTACCGGTTACATCACTGTAGAAATTAACAAGAGAGCCAAGAGTGCGGGAACCGTGATACCTCACACGCATTGTAGAATTCAGAAGCACAAGAGTAGGGAAGCCATGAACTCCATACTTTGACAGCATGCTAGTTAAACCAATGAATGGTTAATTCAGTAAAGCATAAACATCATTCCCTGTGACTGAAGAAAAACAGTAAGCAATAAAAAGCAGGAGAAGGCAGCAAACCTGGGACGAATGGCTGATTCTTCGACCACGATATGTGGTATAGACGGATACAAAGAAGCCAAGACAGGCAACCTAGGTTTAAAAGCCTTTGAAAAAGGGCACCATGCTGCATAAAAGAGCACAGCTACATAGTCCAGACCACCCTTGTATATCAAATCTAGCGCTTTCTGTAGTGAAACCTCGTCCCCCTGTATGAAGAATACAATCCACGAAAAATCAGAAAACAAAAGAGGGACCAACTTCAACCTAAGCCAAGATCATATACGGATATGCCTAGAGCACAACTGAAAGCTATAACTAGGCAAGCAGAAAAGCTAGATTAACTAAATCAAGAAACTCTACTGTTCCACACCTACCAGAATCCTGTTTCGCAATTTATAGTATGTGACCATTTCCCCTTAGCGATCCTGTTTTATGACGCAAAGCAACCACAGAGAGCAGAAAGTACGGAACTTTACCAGCTCCAAACCTAGCCCACATTCATCAACTACTAACTAGATAGCGCAATCAAGAATTCAAGGTATTCAAATGGTTTGATGGTATGGCAATGTGAAACTGACAAGTGGAGTGAGTGACGAGAAAAATTGGGCAAAAAGAAAGTGGGGGAGAAATAGAAAAGAAAGAAGGATACCTCGTTGACGCAAGCGGAAGGCAGTGATTGGGAATTAGGGAAATCAGGGTTGGCATCTCGAAACCCAAAGATCGAATCTGTAATAGAAGGTCTGGGGCACACCGGAACCCTAGTAGCAGCAACAGCAGCAGCGTCGGCGAAGGTGGCGGCAAAGAGAGTGAGAGCAAACACGAAACCCACCTTCCATATCCACCTCTTCCAAACCCTAGGCCCCAGCGCCATGGTGGGGAAAACCTAAAAACTAGCGGGGAAAAAGGGGTGGTGGAAATTTCAGGCAGGCGGGGAGGGAAGTGGGGAAACTAGGCGGTGGAGAGAGAGGAGCAACGGCGACCCATTTTCAGGAGAGTGAATGGAAAGAAGACGAAAGAGGCAGGGGGGAGCTGTAAAGGCGCCGGCGGGCGCTGCCGCAGATCGGAAATGGAAGTGGTGGTGGTGGTGGTGGGTAGGATGGATTGGGCAAGTGTGAAGAAGATGTTTGGTTTGGGGTTCGGATTTTCCCTTTTCTTGTCTTTGGTGTCGCTGGTCCAGCTCCAATGGAGTCTCTCCGTTTGTGATTCTCTTATCTGTCTATTATATTATTGCAAAGAAAGGGGGTAGAGAGGGGCAGTGATAAAAATAGTTGCAATTCTCTTGTTGGGATTGTAGCGAAGAGAGCAAGGCGGCGTTTCCAACTATTATGTTCTGTTCTGTCCATTGTTTGCCTGCTATCTTTTGGATGGTAAGTGGTAACCTTCTCAGCAAGGTTATCTGCATCGGTTTGACAAGTGATATGATTTGATCGGATATAATAACTTGTATATATATATATTTGACAAAATCTATAAACGTTAAAAATTATTATCAAATGAATTTAAAATACTTATAAAATATATTTGAGGACAAACTACTTACCATCTACATTCATATTTAAATAATATACAACATTACAAATAAAGTAACAAATACTCATATTTAAACACAACATTTAAAGTCAACAACAAAATTTTTATACGTGAACTCAACAAATAACTTCAATATTTAACTTTCAAATTCATGAAATAAATCACAACTTAATTAACTTTTGTTAATAAAATTCACTAAAACTATTTCATTTTGTTTAGAGGATGAAAATAGATCATATTGATGGTATTCCAGCCAGTTACATGAACGACAACAATTATATCAGATTCAACCGATTTACATTCCACTTACATGACAACCATAGTTTATCCCGACTGTTTTGGATAAAATTAAAATAAGTAACACTTGGTTGGTATTCTAACCTCAAACCTATCATCTCTCTTATGAAACTAATGGATGGTTTGTTTGTTGGATTTGACTAATGGATTTGGGATTCAAATTTCAATCATAAAAAACTTGATCAAAATCATCAATAAATTGTGTTTACAAATATGTTTCCCATTTATCATTAATAATATTTTATTACATTAGTGGTCTCTAGCTATACATTTTCATCTCCACTTCCTTGTTTTCGACTCTAATGAATGGTAGACCACAAATGGTTTCTTTAGATCAACGCGTGGGCTGCGACAAGGTGATCCATTACCCCATTACTCTTTATCTCGTGTATCGATGGATTTTCTACCCTTCTACGACAGGCTCTAGCGGATGGACGATTGGAAGGGATACGACTTAGCGTCCAGGCACCATGTGTATCCCACTTGTTCTTCACCCGATTGTAGTCGGGTTTCCATTTTCTACAATCACATTGAAGCACACACCAAACACATCCAAAGTGTTAGAGATAAAGTTCTAAAGGAGGTAACCCCTCACACACTTAGCCACAAAAACATTGGGAGCACGAGTGCATAAGAGGGAAACGACTTTGGCATAACAAATGACGAGCACGGTAGGGTAAAATCAAACTATTGACACCCAAAACATTGTTAGACTTATATAGGACTCATTCTATATAGGCAAGCAAGCCTTATTGTGAATTTCGACTTCTCTGAGGCATTTTAAGTTTTAACGAACACTTGGTGGGCGTTCGGTATGAACGAAGGAAAAACAACAAATTCTTGTCCATCAAGGCTACAAACAAACACCAAAGGCATCACACAACATTCATAATCATACAAGAAATTTTCCTGAACCATTTCCCTCACCCAATTTGGACATTTTTACAAAAAGTACCAAATTCCACACCCTAGAAGTAGAACCATAAGTGTCAGATTTTCCAAGGATTAGGATGGATTGAGAGGTAAACCAACTTGAAAACTTTAGGCAGTGTGCTTGAATGAGTGAGGGAAGCAAAAATTGTAGGGAAACGACTTTCTGGTGACCGAAAGATTTTGGGCAAGGGAAGACTTACCGCCGCCGACTGAAATTAACACATCAGCGGCTAAAACTACAGTCGAAGGGGCACCATGAGGAGATGACAAATTAGTGATGACAATGGGGCGGGGCGGGTACCTCAATACCCATACCCTCCCCACAGGCTACACCAACAGTGGGTCAGGTAATACTCGCACGGGTACATGTCGGGACAGATCGACCCAATCTTATATATTATTTGAAGAAAACGTTTATTTTCTAGTGATAAAACAAAAGAAAATTAGATTGTAAGTGAAAAATAGAGATAAAAGGTAGACTAATGTAGTCCAGTTAGTTGTCTAAATGATCATTGGTTGAAAATATGAATTAGAATAAGTCCAAATAGGAGAAATATTGAGTCAAATCAATGTAGGGAAAGTCAAGAACGAGGTGTGACGGGGTGGGGCAGGCTGGAAGTAGTACCATGCCCCACCCCATACTACTACGGCCGGGTATTAGTCACCCCAACACGAGGTGGGATCGGGTAATACTGATGGAACGGATTCAAATTGCCACCACTAGGACAAATATGGTGTTTCGTTATGAGTTTGCGTGGCCGGATGAAATTTTTGATGGAAGTTTCGTCTGAAGTTCATAGGAGTTTGCCAACTTGGAAGAGCTCTAGTCGTGCGAAGGGGAGGAATGGGTGTGAATCCTGCTTCACTGGCCTTAAAAAGGCCAATCTGGGGAACGTTATAGTTGTGAGACTTTGAAAGTCACGGCTGGAGCTCAAACCTGAGTACTAAAGCCTTCATCAAGCATGGTATCAATGTCTTCGTCATGCGATTGAAAGCATCTTTCAGTTGTTCTAAATGCGAAGAACTATAGCTTAGTTTGGCCTTGCGGTAGCTTTTGCAGAAGCAGCTTCTGGCTGAAGCTTTTAGATAAATACTTTTCAAAAAAAGTAGTTGAGTGTTTGGCTGTAAAACTATTAGAAGTGAAAGATTGTGTAAAATGACTATAAAGGACTTATAATATAAAATATAAATTCTAAACAATAAAAAGTAAACAAAATGGATCGTGTTAGATTTCTTTTATATTAAATAATATGATTTTATAATTTATTTTACTTTTAAAATGATATAAATGAAAGAAAATTATATTTTCTTAATTAAAATTAAAATATGGTAAGGATAATCTTGTCTTTTCAAAACAGCTTTTCGCAGAAGCTCCAAATCGAAGTTTCTGCTTTTATGTTATACAAAAGCGCTTTTCGGCTTTTCAAAAGCCGAGTTTTTACAGGTGTTTGACCCTACTTCAGCTTTTTAAGCCTAAAAGCACTTCTAAAAGCCGGGCCAAACATAGAGTATGTTGTTTGGGAATTTCAATTATGTGTGTTTATTGAAGGCAATGGTCTTCTGTCGATCTTTGATGGTATGTCTCCTAGCCCATCGTTCCACCTGCTACTGTCGATGCTTTAATTTTTAACGTTGGAACATGAAAAATGTCAAGGTAAAATCTTGGATTCTGAATTCTTTTGATCCTCATATTGTTCTTCGTTTGTGGTCGTTCAAAGCTACGTTTGAGATGTGGAGACGTCTGATTGCCACATATGCGATGCAGAATTCGGTCTGGCAATTCGAGATCGAGCTCTCTAAACTGAAGCAATGCGTTATGAATATAGCCTCCTATTAAAAATAGTTGTACAATTATGGACGGAGCAAAGATCTCATGTTGGCTTCATTGCATCCTGCTAAGAGCAACCAATCTCGTTTCTTCCAGTTACGTGGGAGACGCATTTGCGAACGCAAGATAAGATCGACCTCTGACTCTGTGCAAGTGAAGCCATTTTCTGTTGTGTCGGTCCCATCCTTTTATACAACAATACATTATACATGCGAGGAAAAGAGACCGGAACTTGGCTTCTTCTTTTTTTACTGGTAACCTGTAGCTTTATTAAGGTAAAATCGAGGCTACATTATCCAATACCAGCTGGTCAACAAGGAAAATCGGCGGCCTATCAATCCACACTTCTCTACTCTCCCAATTCGTCTTGCTATGAGCCATAATGTGAGCCGCGTTGTTAGCAGTTCTTTTAATTTGGCTTTATCAATGCATTATTCAACACCCTGATAACACCCTAAATATATATGTTTTACCAACACTTTCATGTCCTAAGCATAAAAATTGTATTTCGATTTTCCAGTTTTACACTTGGAGGGAAGATTGAGAAACTAACGAGGGAAAGAAACGCAAAAAAAAAAAATGTTTAGGGTTCGAAATTTGGCATCAGCGGAACATGAGCCCGCAACCTCCGAGGCGAGGGCAATATAGTTGTACCACTTTGATTGTGTTACCTTTCGGTACCAAAATCAATGTGTATTATGTTGACGATGATATGGATAGATGTGTGTCATAACTGGGGAGCTCAATTAGTACGATATTGTCCGCTTTGGGCCCCGCACGGTTTTACTCTAGGGTGTCCTCCCCAAAAGGCCTTGTACTAATGAGCTTGTTGGACACATATAAACAAGGGTTCCTTCCCTTGTATTTCTGATGTGGTACTTGGATTGTCCCATAACAATCCTCCGCTCAAGACAAGGACCACAAACTTCGTGTGCTCACCTCAGCGATTATCTGGATCTGCCAAACGCCTTGTATCGATGGGCTACTCGGTACAAGGACTTTACCAGACGCAAAACTCTCTTTGATCTCCTTCCCAAATGCGAAACTCTCTTTGATCCGCCAAGCCCAAACATGGATCTCTCCTGGATCCACCAAACATACGCGAATCACCTTTGACCCGCCAGACAAACACAGATCTCAAATCTCGAGGTCACAGAATGAGGGTCCCACCAAACTCACGTCCACCACCCCGATCCGAACCAAGCTATGATACCACTTGTCATAACCGGGGTGCTCAATTAGTACGATATTGTCCGCTTTGGGTCAAGCCCGCACGATTTTACTCTTGGGTGTCCTCCCCAAAAGGTCTCGTACTAATTGGACTAGGTGGACACTAATATTCAAGAGTTCCTTCCCTTGTATAACCGATGTGGTACCTGGATTGTACCCTAACAATGTGATTGACGATGCATAGTCAAACCACAACCCACAAAGTCAAACACCGTGACACGTGTCAAAAAATCGTGTGGGCCCCAAACATCACCATCAACACGGTCGTGTCATTGACAATGTTGTCTTCCAGATCACATTTTGTATTCATTTCAATGCAGAGGACAACATTTATGACGTTTGTGGTTGATGGATCTGACACGATGACCAACACGATCGTGTTAAGGATGTGTCTACCTATTTCTGCATGTTGCAAGTGAGCGACCGACGATTTTATCCACCTAGTCAACAACATGACGTTGTCGACATGGCATGTCGAATAAGGTAGGATGCTTCTCGTGATAGTTTGTTCGCCATGTTTTCATATGAGGACTTTCTGGCATGCTTGAAAAGGGGGATGTGAGTCGTGTTAGGATTGATGAAGGGTGGTTGTGATCTTCTGGCAAATTTGGTTGGCTCGGAATAGTGTGATTTTTCTATCATACTCAGTTCACCATACTTGTGTTGCTATCATAATTCATTGTCGTCCCATCTGGAGCCTGGGCCCTGGGGTAACAGGGTCAGGGGGTGATCTTCTCCCCCATCAAGAACGAGCCTGGGGGTATCAAGAAGATGAAGAAAGGAAGAAGGACAAAACTGAAATTTAACATTTTCATTGAAAATCATGAATCCATATACAAACAAGATATTTGGTCCAAATCCCAATTGTAAATTACCTGAGTTTTTAGTTATGAGATTTGACTCACACGATCCTTCATAAATCCCGCAGAGCCAAACCATTCATGCAAACTACCCCGTGTGAATTCAGATTTAGTGTGCCACCTGTACTAGTCTACAACAATGCAACGACTAATAGTCCACTTATAGGGGTTTATTTATGGATAACAAAAATATCCATACCTGTGAATACCCTCGCAGAGCTGATTTAATCGGGGTAGGGTAATACTGGCCCAATAGGTCGGGCAGGCCAGCATGACTAATCTACTTGACCAGACCCATTCTTGACCCATTTTTGATTATATTACATGTAATTTTAATCAAATTAATTGGGATCTTACTATTTTTGCTTCGTATATTAGCTAATAAATTTATAAATATTTAAGAGCATCAATTTCTCGAATAATTGAACCATATTTATCAAATTTATAGTTTGTTCCTTACTTTTTTAATAGATAATTAATATTTCTAATGTTTTACTTTTAGTTACATACCAATATAGACTCAACCTACTTCATTGAGTATCTAACCTATTCATTATCATTCCTAATGTGAATGTTAACATGTTGGTTGAAGATAAATTATTTGATATCCAAACCCGATCACGTATGAACATGATCTCGAATTTTCAATTATTACCTATGAATAACCATGCCTCGACCTGTTCCCACCCCATCCCTATATATTCACTTCCAACCCCTCGAATGAGCCAAAAAAAAAAAAATGAAAAAAAGGTTATATGATTGAACTTATCAAGGCCAGCGAAAGCACGGTACAGGAATATACCCAGTTAACTTTTAAGATCTTTCTTGTGAAGGAAATAAAAGCACACGCACACATCAGGACCTTCACAAGACAAAATGAATGCAAAAGAGTAAGTTATGCATTAAGAGATGAAACACTTGGTAACAGACTTAAACAGTCGTACCAGAGCCAGAAGATCAAAATCCAGCAAGCCACCTATCGACTCCAGCCTGAGTGCTGCATCAAAAGCTCATCTCCTGGAAATAAGTTCAATTTTCCAGTCAATTGCACGAAGAAAACGATCAAGGTTAAAAAAGTCTCAAAGGGGAAAAACATCAGTTCATCATGCAGAGACCAATTTCTTTTTAACTAATTACCTTGTTAGCAGCACCCATAGGGCAGTCCAAAACTGCAATGTGGATGATCTTCGTTGGCTTCGACTGCCCTACTGTAAACTTAGTCTCCCGGGGAACTTGGCATTACAGACTGCGCATATAAAACCATCCGTGCCAAATCCCGATCTAGAATCAGGAGCACTGTAATGAAACATCTTTCTACAAGAAATGCACACAATAGGAAGGTCGTGCCGGGTTCCCATTTTTGGCAACAGAGGCAGAGCCTCTTTCCCAGCCCAAATGGGTGATGAATCCAACTCTTGGTTCACCATTTTCGCATAGGATAAAATCTTGGGATCCTCTGAATGAGAGGTCCTTTGAGAATCTCGGAAACCAAATCCTGGGTTATCCATGTTGCCCAATCTCAGCCCTGGTGAACCAGAAACGCTGCCACCAAATTTGAAGCCAAAGAGATCACTTCCACCCTGTCAGATTGCAAAAAACCATTTCTCATTAGTCATTAGCCTTAGACAACCTGTTCAGCCTCAAAATAATGGGTAAGAGTGCATGTTTGAAGACCGACACTAATTACACACCTGGTTAGTAGGTTAACCCTACCAATGAGACACAATTGGCAACTGCCATTGGGTTTATTTCACCTAGGAAAACACTAGACTGTTTCACTTCAAAACGATCTATAGGGTGGTCTTCAAGTTGCATAGGTGTTATATGAAAGGATGCTTTAAACATTTTATTAGGAACTTTCATATTGCTAAATCGACAGACATATCCGCATTCAAGGAATTGACACAAGGAATTGAGTTTGAAGCAGTATGCATAGCAGTCGCTATAAAGAAAAGAAACGCAGAAAATGTCTAAAGAGAATGGAAAATGAGGACTTCAGAACACAAAACCGATACCATAAACATATGGATGGAATATCAGAAATATGCTGAGCTGAGAAAATCAAATACAAACAAGGCCCTCCTGTTATGGAGTTTCACAACACTAATCTTACAAGGATGAAATCATATATTTGTTGACGAAGAATGGAAATTTCTAGTGATATAGGCAGACATAAGTATAGGTTAATGCAAGCTTGTTGACTCCAGGGTCTCCAGTGAAAAGCAACCACTTGAGAATCAAACAGAAACATGAAGAAAGATGTCAAACATATAAAACCTCTTCACAAAGAAAGAGTTGGGGAGGGAGCACTAATCCAAACCTCTGTTTATGTGGAACATTATTATTTTTTTATGAATAGAAAATAAAGTTACCAGGCCTCTAATTCGCACGAGTTCTCATGTCTGGCAAGGTTTTTACCTTTCTCTGAACCAAATCATATGGAGGAAGAGAATTTGATGACAGCACAGGTTGAGATGGAGTATCAGCAAAACCACCAAGCAGGTTGCTCTCTTCATCAGTTCTCCACATGAACTCCCTTGTAGCAGTACTTCTATTGGTTTGTGCATCACCATTAAAACAGGACTCCATCCCTTTCTTCCTCGAATTTCCGAAAAATTCACTTTGAGGAAAAGCCCTGTTTAGGTCATTCCCAAAGCTTCGCACTTGACCATTGAATGGAAAAGGCAGAAAATTCTCCACAGAACCATCATTTGACCGCGGGTATTCATCCATAGAACACCTATCCTGACCTATTATAACTGCAGGAAACGTTTCCTGCTCATTATTTCTCATAGTAAGACTATTCTGAGTAGCACAGGCATGGCCATAGTAGATGCTTTGATCACCCTTATATGAACTATTAGCATCATTATTTCTGCTATCCACTGAGATACTTGAGATCTGATTAACCTGGTTGACATCACCATGGGCTTGCATATTATAACCTGCTTGACACTCTAAGGTATACGACTGTCTATGTGCAGAAGACATATGTGACAAACTGGTGGAACTTCTTTCCTCCTCTACATTGCCAAGATAACCCAAGGGTAGAGCGGTGTCGAAGCCAAAATAATTCCTTTCTGAAAATACCGCTTTATCACATTTCAGAGTTTCTCCTTCTCCACTAGATACCTTAGCCACATCGGCTTTCAAACCACTAAAATGCTCACTACAAGATAGAGCTAGCTGGCAGTCATCATCAGCTTCCTTCTCTTCCGGAAGTCTACATATACTGGATCTGGGGTTCTCTTTTATATCACGGACAACATAGAACATATGGTCATTTGATGGTTTGCCCAGATGGCTTCCATATCGCCCATTTTGTTCATTGCTAACAGTATCATCAGAAGGCAAAGAATGCCCACTGTGTCTATCAACTGTTATATAATTGTTCCTTGATTTTTCTGCTACATCAGTTGGGGGCCTAGTTTCCAAGCTACCTGGCAGACTTTTCGCACTACTGGTCAGACCAAGTGTTATCTGATCTTGAGTTAAACATGAATCCTCTTCATAACCTTTTGCTTCCACAGTGCCCACTATTGTTGGAGTCAGAATCCCATCTGCACTATTTACAACACCATGTTTCTCATCACTGACAAATGGAGCAGGCAAACAACACTCAACAGTCTGCTCTGGGATGTTAGTAGTAGCATCTGCCTCTATTCTGCAATCAAAGACATGTGCAGCAACTGGAACCTCTTCCTCTGCTGGATCGGCGCTCTTGATTGTAGAGTCTTCTACTATAGTACTCGATATATTCCCATTTTCAACGTTTTGACCACCAATTATCTTCTCATTATCAAGAACAAGAGAGCGACTAAAAAGACTTCTGTTCGGCTCATCCTGATTCATTGGTGTGCCGGCATTACATGTCTCATGCCTATTATGTTCAGAAGAGGCAGCAAATGAAGCATCCTGAGAAAAGATTTCCTGCCCAGCAAGGGAATCAATGTCGTCAGAAGCACCTTTGCAAGTCTCTGCCCCATTAGATGATCCACAAATGGCATTATTCTTATTCGTATCTGGTAAAATTGGAGCGACAACAGAAGGGGGACTATTAACAGTATAACCAATTCCATTTCTTTCCTTTGCCCTCCCAACTTCATCAAGGCATGTCGTGCTAACTTGATCCTGCTTACAATTATAATTTGCAACATAATCATTCGCTTTTGTTGCGCATGGAACCCCATGTATGATTGCTTCATTGGTTGCGGCACCGGAAGCTCTTTTGGCCATGTCAAATCTAATAGAACCATGAAGCTTCACACCTTCGGACAGAGCATCATCACGAGTAGGTATAGCATTAATATTTGAGGTTGGCAATGGGCTGGCAACTGATGATGGGGATAATACCACACCCTTTTGAAATGTCCCCTTTCCCAATGAAGCTTGAATTCTCTTCAAATAGTCTTTTATGTGATTTCCAAAGTGACCATTGAAGCGATGCCTTTCATCAAAAGTCTTGGGACATAATTGGCACTCGTATTTTCCATCTTTGATTATGGCTTCCTCATTCGTCGTTGTTCCATATCTAATCCTCTTTGGAGTGCGACGATGAGATGTTACCAAGTGTTCGAGCAATTCATCTTGTTGGTGGAAAGCCATTCTGCATTTATGACATTTGTAACTTTTCTCAATCTGGAGCTCATCAAGGCTCCCCATCTCTATTGCGTAGGTATCCTCCTTGGGTTCAATGGGCCGGGTTGGAGAAACAGACCATGTTGAAGGGCACTCGCATCCATTATTGTCATCCGTAAACATATTTTCTGCAGACTGTTGTAAGCACACTTTGTGAAGTGAAACAATATAGGGATGCTGGAATGACTAACAAATATTGCAATGCTGACTTACATATTGAGAAGTTACTCGGACATTTCCATCAACAACACCAAAATTTGACAGGGTTGCATCTTGGAGTCCAGAAGCGGAATGTAAATATGACCCAACTTCCTTGAAGGACACAAACTGCTGCCCATTAGGGCTGGATGGTATTGAATTAGCAAAGACAGGTAAGATACATGCAACACAACCAACAAAGTGTACTGAATTTGGCATAGGAAATAGATCAGAGAAAAAAGCATTATATTTTTCTTGAAAGGTATAAGAGTAAAAAAAACATATAAGAATGAGGAAGTGTATTGGAGACGCAAACTGGCTACAGCAGTGTCACGAAAGATATTTTATGAATGTTAAGCTAATCACACATCCTACAAAAGCAAAAACATGTGCTTAATATCATATTGGCAAGATTTGATTCAATCGGGAGGAGCCCTTAGGGAGATGTTAATAACAGGAGCAAATAGTAGAAGTGAGGAGGTATATGACAAAATTATTAAAATGAGTTATGTGAATTATTAAAATGACCCCATAAGATTTTTAAGCTTAAAATAAAAACGAATGGGATACAACTGGAAATGCAGAACAGACTGAGTCGCGTCAATTTAACATTACATTTTAAACACAGAAGTTGAAGGATGTATTCATTAGAGATATTCTTTTCAAATCAACAGCAGGCACCATCACAAACAGATTGAAAGAAATGAAGCCTATAAACAGAAGTACTAGGAAAACTGGAATCCAAAGAAAAAACACAAAAAACCTAATGAGGGGGAAAAAAGACTAATGACATGAAACCAATGCAGTCAAAATCGCGCTTTAAAACTTACAAACTTACGATTTTACGCTTTTAGGTCAGCAAAACGCTTTCGTTTCCATATAAAAACTTTAGTGTATAAAATCGGATTAAATTACGCTTTAAACCTTAAAAAACTTACGCTTTTACGCTTCTAGTTCACCAAAACGTTTTACGTTTTTACGCTTTTAGTTCACTAAATAGGTATTCTTTCATAAAATTAAAGGTAAATTACCAATAATATGATACATTTGAGATCAAAGATATATATTAGGTATTTGGATGCATTCTCAGCTTCAATAGAGTAATCTAATTCACCAGTTAGGCTCTTCCCAAATTCATTAGCATAGAGGTGACGGTGGCTTATTGTTAAGATTTATGTTTATGAACTTATTATTAAGAGGCTATAAGTAGTTCTACTTTAGCCATGAATTGCAGGTATTAATTAACTTATCTAAATTATGTGCACTCATATTTTATATAGTACTTGTCGTACTCAACAGATTTTTAGTTATTTTACAGCACGCGTCAAAAACTTACATTTTTACGCTTTAATTCTACGCTTTACGATTTTACCCCTTTTCCACCTCTAGGTAGAGTTGCGCTTTTGACTGCATTGCATGAAACAATGGAAAGTATAGGACAAAAAAGGCCAAACAGCACAGATGCTGTCTTGTAGCCCAAGACGCACAAAAATTTGACAACGATTATTTGCATATTTAATTGCACAAGTCAAGTAAAAATAACCTAATGCATCAACTAGGATATGTTAGCTTAGGAATTGAGGATATGTGAATTTTATGGGAAATCTTCTGATTGGAGATCATATAAACTAAAATAGAATGCTTAAAGGTCTCAAAATGGAGTGAAGTTAACATAAAACTGCGCATTATAAAAATTCAAAATAACCTATCAAACTTTTCATGTTTTTGTAAACTTGCCAAACAACTTCTAAACCATTCAAGCACTTATAGATAACCTAAATTTTAAGAAGTTCTCACATTTCCAAATGTTGTTTAGAGACCATATTGGTATTGCTATTACATAAGAATTTTATTAGAGTAGGCTTTTCTGTTAGCATTTCCTGCATGGTGATTAAATAAAGCTTTTTTTTTTTTATACAAGTTGGAATAAATGTTTTATGAGTCGTTTAAGGCTTGTACTTCTAGTTCATGCAATTATAATGAATATTTGTCCCTAAATATGCAGTTTACTTGACAGAGTTATAACTACAAGAATTTTTTAGCAAATGATGTCCCAAAGATAGTTGCAACTCCTCTTTTTCCATGACACCTAGAGGCCCCTTCAGGAGGGGCATAGATACTCTCGGTGATGCATAGGTTTCTTCCCCAAGCTTTTAGATCTATTTCTATTTGACACTATAGTTTTGTGCATAAACCATAGCCTCAGAAAATCAGCCAATAAACAACCCAAACACCCAACTTTCAACCCAAATGTGAAAACCTCAAGTAGACAATTTTCCCTGAAATCTATCTACGTTTGTCAAATACTTAACAGCTCTGCTTCAGAGTTTTTGTTCTTTCTTGTTCTCCTACTTTAGAATATAGTTCAAATTGCTTCTTCTAATTAAAGTAAAGCTCGCTAAGTTTTTTAAGCCAAAAACTAAAACAATAGAGTAAGTAGATTGTGTTCAAACAGAATTACCTAAAATTATAAACTAATCAAGTATTGACAATGGGTCTAAATGGCTACCTTAAATCACATATTGCAGTACGAAATCAAAAGGAAGCACACTCACGATCTTAAAAACGTATAAAGCACTTAGCGTACGACTTGAATGACTTAGTAAACAATATACCATTAAGAATGAGAGTAAAGATAGCCAAAACTTTTTTATTTTATCAGGTAGTAAGGCAATGCATAATATATACTTTTGACAAATATCAAGCACAAAGCTTACAAGACAGCATGTAAAGAGAGCTCAGTCGTTCCTACTCATATATCATAACACCAGATTTCAAAGTTCAGATTCTTATTAATTCATCAAGGAAGACAACTAGCTATTATGAATTTTATAGAACAGCAAAAACCATGAAGACTGAGTAGCTAAAAAAGCATATTCTAAAATTTGAAAGTGAAAAACCTTATGTATCTTGCACAATCCAACCAGACATTCTTCCTTCTCCTTGTGACACGAATCAAGAGCTTCCAACCACTAGGCAATATATCCCCAAAGGCACTGGCATCTACAATCTTCCTCTTTCTCTTGCTAGTCACCCATTCCCCTTGAATTCCCTGCAAAAAATCCAACACCTCTTCCTTTGTCCGCATTCCCGCAGTGTTGTTCCTTAACCTATCTCCATATGGATCATCAGTGGTTGCAACCATAGCTAATTCAATCGCATTCTCTCCTACATTCATTATTCCCGTATTCTCTTCGAGTCTATTATTCTCCACACCGTCAGGCACAAGAACAATCCTATTCTCCGCGTGAGACACCACATTGTTTACCATACTACAAGGATTAGCATGGAGATTAATGTTGGTTTTGCTCGGCCTACCTCGCTTCCGCTTCTTTGGACTAGGAACGGGATCTGCAGAAATAGCCAGTACAACCACCGGCTGTTCAATGTCTCGACTGCGACTAGAACTAGGGATGTTCATAAGTTCAATTTCTAGTTCGCCTGTCATATTTGACGGCAAAGCCAGAAGTCCCTCGTGCTGGCCGACGGGGACCGAAACTAGGTTATCCATGCCTCCGCTCTGACCAGAACCAGAATCCACGACGCCTTTCCTAATTGACGGCAAAGCCAGAGTTCCCTCGTGCTGGCGGACGGAGACCGAAACTAGGTTATCCACGCCTCCGCTCTGACCAGAACCGGAATCCACGACGCATGTCCTATTTGACGGCAAAGCCAGAGTTCCCTCGAGCTGGCCGACGGGGACCGAAACTAGGTTATCCACGCCTCCGCTCTGACCAGAACCAGAATCCTCGACGCCGAACAGCGACTTGAGTCCTGATACGATTAGACGACTCTCCTCATCGAGCGGAACTTCAGCGCTCCGTAGACGCAAGGGAGTCGCAGTAGAAGGCGAAGCAGAGGGGCGGCGCGAGCTCCCTCGACGGGCAAGGCGGAGGCGGGAGAATGTCTGTTTACGGCTTCCCGCAGATTCGTTGAAGACGGAGCGATCGATTCTGGGAGTAGAAACGTCGGTGTCGTTGTGGAGATTGTGGACGGAGGAGAAGGAAGAGGAGCAAACGGAGAGGGAGAGTAGCTCCGATTGAGAGAGAAGGCGGAGGTCAATGAGTGGTAGGGAATCCGCCGCGAGGCTACTCGGGCGTTGGTCGCCGGAGACCGGGGAAGACGAGGTGTCGACGACAGCGGCCATGACATGGAAGACAGAGAGAGCGGTTGCGTAGATGACTCCGACTCGGAGGGGTGAGCGGGATTCGGAGAGGAGAATCGGGAGTCGGTACCAATTTGACGCGGTGGTGCTAAGGAACTCGAATTTTTGGGGGTTTCGTGAGTTATGTTATGTGACACCTATAAACTGAATTCATATTTATCGTCCTAACTAGGGCTAGTAATCGGATTGTCAGTTTACAATTTAACCGGTTATCAAACAAGTAATGCCGGTTATAGTTATACCGCTAAACAATGATATTAGTATACGGTAGCCAAATCTTGTATGTCGGTATAGTGTATACCGAGCTTTACTCGGTTAGTAATTGGCCGTCACCCGATATATTAAAAGATGAGGAATTTTACAATGCTATATAGTATTGGTGCTATAGGTTTTTGTCTTTATGGTACAACTTGAAATTGTACCTTTAACGTTATGGTACAACTTCAGATTGTACCTATACTTTTTGTACAAATTCTTTTATGGTACAACTTGAACTTGTACCTTCTGTGATGGTACAACTTCAAGTTGTAAAGTTGTACCATAACATAATTATACAAATTCCTTTATGGTACAACCTAAACTTATACATTTAATGTTATGGTACAACTTCAAGTTGTACATTAAAGCACCAATACTATATAGCATCGTAGTAGTGCTCATTAAAAGATACCAAATCACTCCCTTATATTCTGATGTTCCCTCTATGAAGAAGTCTAGAAAAAACAATTCTTAATTTCTTCTTTCTCTTCCTCCTTTTGCCTTCTCTCTGGAGAAACGAATCATAACCATACCCAATTGCCAATTTTCTTTATTCTTTGAGGGCGGCAGCGGCAGCAGCAAAACAGGGACCAACACCATCGTCGGATGTATCTCTCTCTCCCTCATCGCCGGATGTCTCTCGGCGACGACAGGAGCAGGAGAATAGGAAGCAGCAAAATCGACAAAGTGCAATTTCATGTCGCCCGCGACTATATCCAAGTCTCTCCATCGCCGACCAATCCCTTTCTTCTTCATCTTCGAACTGGGTCACTGAATCTCCATATCTAGTGCCATATGTTGTCCCCCTCGTGCGATGACTCTCTCTCTCCCTCTCAATTCCAGATTTGCCAACAAAGGAGAGGAGTCGGCAAAATGTCGACGACCTAGCACTACCATCTCCATTGATGAAATTATGGCTCAAGAGGCCCACATTTAACCATGTGTTATCCTTACTTCCTTGTTCTTCATTAGTTAGTTGATGGCATGAAACAAAAGCACGCATTAGCTAATCATTGTTCCTTTCGCATGTGATGAAAACTCGGTTAGGAATGCATTCGTAGAAGGGATAGAGTATCATAATAAATTAAGTATCAAAGTATCTTATCATCTAGGGAACACTACCTAGACAATATCTTTACTTACTTGTTTGCTTAGTTTTCTTTCCTGCTTTGGTAGAATAGAATTCGACCAACCTTTAGGATACCTCAACCCTTCGACTTTACTTTTTATTGCATTGTTATTATCCTAGCATGCGTTGTTAGTTTTGAGTAGTTACTAACTTACTATCAAAAGACCCTTTGAAATATATCCCTAGACATTTCAATGATTTTATAACTTGTTGTATATTATGCATCACAACCCACCCGACCCAACCAATCATAACCAAATCGTATTGTTTTAAAAAAAAAATTGTTAGATTTGGATTTAATATTTTCAAAAGCGAAGTGTATGGGCCGAGTGATTAAAATGACTAAATTTTAACCACCGGATCCATGTACGTGCCTAACATAAAAGGTGTGACAGAAAAGTGAATTATGAGTAATTTTGAGGTGATTGATGGAAGTATTCCTATAATTGAGATGATATGTATGGGTTAATGATGAGAATGAGAATGATGAATGAGTAGAGTTCATGACAGAAGGGTCATGCATTGAGTATTATGAAAATCAATTTATTGAATGATAATTGACATGAGATTGTATGTACATGGAACTCAATGAAACGATATGGATTCCTGGATCAATTGAGATAATGATAGAAAGACAAAAATGAATAATGACGTAATCATCTAAATCATCTAAACATAGAAAGGGTATGCACTTACCCCGTCCTTTTTTAATGAGTAAATTAGCGGGACTCTTCCTAGATAATGATTGTGTTTCCAGACTTGGTCCACTAATGATGATTATTTGCTCGAGTCAGGGGGTATGGTGATCTTGGCGCCTAATGTTATGACATGCTTGGATGGAATTGTGATGTTGTGAGATTAGCGTGTGATATAGATGGTTGATAAATATTTTTTTACAAGTTTTATCTTATGAATAAAATGTTTGGATGTTTAATTAACAAAGTGACTTGATGAATTGATTGTGTGGATGATTATAAGTATTATGATTAGATAGATAATAATTAGGAATTGGATTGAAGTGGAATTACTTGATGAATGTGAATTGATGACCTAAAACTTAACCTAGTGTGAATAAGATTTGTGTGTTGAAATCATTTGTTTCCTTATCCTATATGATTCACGTCACAGGTGGAAGCGACCACATATTCAACTTCGTAATGACCCCATTTTGTTTCGGTTATGACATGTGTGATTGAATATGCTCTGGAATCTATCGAGTTCATATCGATGCTCACTCACTTATAACCCTAGCAATTACAAGTATATCACTGCTAGACTTGTAGTAAACTAGATCAGTCGTATTCTAAAAGGACCTAATACCCTAACCTACGCTTGTTAAGCTTAATTATTATCTAGTTGATCATCTGTTGTTGGTTGGTGTTGAGGAAATTGTGTTACTAAAGCTCAAGAGACTGAAATCAATACTCCCTCCCTCACCCTAACTACAGGTAAACATGCAAATTATAGGTAAATGAATCATGGCAATCAGTGATAAATTGAGAACGACTCTGGTATCGCACTCTAATGGATGAAGGATTTGTTTTGAATGTTTTACCAATTGATATAATTCCCTAATTTTATTTTAAGAATGATTTTGAGTTTTAGAATGCAGGATAGTTGGTTTTGATCGAGTATGACCCATGAGTTGAGTTCGAATTGACAAAAAGGTCTAAATTTTGTGAATTCTGGTTTTGACAAAGGTCGATCAATGAATTTAATGAAGTTATTAGTAAGGAAATGTGAAAAGATTAGATACCTGACAGTTGAGTTCTAAACCTATCATAACCTTGTGGTTGGGAGTCGTGTCCGGTTTTGTAAATTGTAACCCTCATTAAAGTCTGTTGAGTTGGTGAACCACTACTTCATGACGATTTGTGTGGAGTACTACAATCTTAATTTGTCAAAGGAGGTTGGGAATTTATGTTGGATATGAGTCCCCTTCAATCATAAAATACTTAGAACCCTTGACGGGAGATTTATTCACTGCTCGTTTTGCTTATTGTCATTTTGACGAATCATTTTTTTCCAACATTAGGGGGTGAGAACAAACAGCTGGGAAAGGATATTTGTTGGAATGAATTATCATTATCTCACCTTGATCCTCGTACTAGACAATGTGAACTGGAAGTTCAAAAGATAATTCATTTACAAGGTTTAGCAAACCAACTGTCGGATTCTTTTACTGACCAGAAGAGAGTGACAAAGTCAAACATACCAGCTGTAAATGCTCCAGTGAAAGTTGATCTCCCTGTTGGACAATCTGAAATTGCAAATGAATCTAAACCACGAATGAAGCATGGTAGACCAGTAGGTTCCAAGGATAAAAATCCTCGGAAAAGAAAAGGAGCAATGAATCAAGTTTGTCAAATCGAGGATATGAAAGCTCAAGAAGAGTCCCCAAGCATAACTAAGATTGTAGTTCCCGAAGAACATCAGGTACCTGAAAGTTTTGATTATGAAGAGATCTCAATAAATTATGTCTTGGATGGAAAATTTTGGAACCGAAGTAAAATAATCGTCGACGATGTTTTTGCTTACGCTGCAGCGTTGAGTGTGATGAATGAAAATGAGGATCATGAACCAAGATCTATTGATGAATGCAAGTCAAGAGATGATTGGCCAAAGTGGAAAGAGGCCATTGAGGCAGAATTAAACTCGCTTTCAAAGCGAAAGGTTTTTGGACCGGTAGTCCTTACACCAGAAAACGTAAAGCCAGTGGGATACAAATGGGTTTTTGTGCGAAAAAGAAATGAAAAGGGTGAAATCGTGAGATATAAAGCACATCTTTTCGCACAAGGATTCTCACAGAGACCTGGCATTGATTATGAGGAGACATACTCCCATATGGTGGATGCAACTACGTTTCGGTACTTGATTAGTCTAGCAGTTCGAGAAGGGTTAGATCTGCGTCTAATGGATGTTGTGACAGCCTATTTGTATGGATCACTTGAGAATGATATATATATGAAACTCCCTGAAGGATTCACTTTACCATAAGCAAACAAAACACATTCTCGAGAAAATTTTCCAATCAAATTGAACAAATCCTTGTATGGATTGAAACAATCTAGACGAATGGGGTACAATCGTCTCAGTGAATATTTGATGAAAGAAGGATACGAGAATGACCCTATTTATCCATGTGTTTTTCTAAAGAGATCGGGTAGTGAGTTTGTTATAATATCAGTTTATGTTGATGACATAAACATCATTGGAACTCCCAAAGAGCTTCCAAAAGCAGTTGATTGCTTGAAGGAAGAGTTTGAAATGAAAGATTTAGGAAGAACAAAGTTTTGTCTTGGATTACATATTGAACATTTGAAGGATGGTATTTTTGTGCATCAAGAAGGATATGTTGAAAAGGTGCTTAAGCGATTTTATATGGACAAATCACACCCGTTGAGTAATCTAATGGTTGTAAGATCACTTTATGTGAAAAGAGATCCATTTAGACCTCGAGAAAGTGATGAAGATCTGCTTGGCCCTGAAGTGTCATATCTTAGTGAAATAGGAGCATTAATGTATCTAACCAGTCACACACGACCCGATATATCGTTTGTTGTGAATATATTGGCAAGATATAGCTCTTCTCCCACTAAAAGACATTGGAATGAAGTTAAACATTTACTCTGTTACCTTCAAGGAACGAAGAATATGGGCTTGTTATATTCGAGTGCATCGAAGATGGATTTAGTGGGATATGCAGATGCAGGATATCTCTCAGATCCCCACAATGGTAGATCTCAGACAGGATATTTATTCACTTGTGGCAGTACAACTATTTCGTGGCGATCCACAAAACAAACTATAACAGCCACATCATCCAATCATACTGAAATCCTAGCAATTCATGAGGCAATTCGTGAATGTGTTTCGTTAAGATCTATAATTCGACACATCAGAGAATCGTGTGGACTATCTCTAGGAAAAATGATCTCGACGATCATGTATGAAGATAATGCAGCATGCATTGCTCAATTAAAGGAAGGATATATTAAAGGAGATAGAACACAACATATTCCACCCAAGTCCATTTTCACTCATGATCTTCAAAAGAGTGGTGAAATAATTGTTCAAAAAGTTCGTTCAAGTGAGAATCTAGCAGATTTATTCACCAAGTCACTCCCGACGGCAATCTTTGTAAAGCTTGTTCGTGAAATTGGAATTCGACGACTCAAAGACCTGAGCTGATGTGGTCATGAGGGGGAGCATATACGCGTTGCACTCTTTTTCCATTAACCATGGTTTTTCCCACTGGGTTTTCCTGGTAAGGTTTTTAATGAGGCATCATGAGATAGCGTAATAATGCAATCTAGTGGTCATCCAAGGGGGAGTATTATGTAAATATTTATATATGGATGACCAATGGCCTGCCACATTAGATGCTCACTTGGGAGTTACATGTAACTCTCATTCCTATATTATTATCTCTAATTCATATGCATTGATGTAAGGATGTAGTGGTTACCAAAGGGTGCCTATAAATAGAACACACTATTGTATCACAAATGGAGTATGAATAAGAAGAACTATTCCCCTCACTTGCTCTTGTGTCTTTCCCTCTCTAATCTTCTCTTGTAGTTGTTTACATTTTCAATTAGTTTTATAACAATTGTGCATTAGTTAGCCTTAGTTAATCTACATGAAGGTTTAGGGAGATACATGTTTCTCTACTTATGATTGCAGGCGCGAACTTGTAACAACAATAACGTATTACAATAACTTAATGAGAGCTATTATGAAACTCTCTGTGTAGTACGACAATTCACACCGGACGACAAGAACCAAATAGATTTTTGTGGATAATGTGTTTTGTATATGCAAAGTAGGAGCAAAATGTATTTTAGAAGGAAAATAAACACAATAGAAAATATTTGAAAACCATGGGATTTGTGGATCTGCAATAGTGAAACTAAAAAAAAAAACAGAGGCTGTTATGAAAATATTATTATTATGGATGATCATATTAGATGCTCAATGGTATGTTACAAATTCTATGTAACTCCTCTCCTTATATTTGAAACTCTCTATGTAGTACGACAATTCACACCGGACGACAAGACCAAATAGATTTTTGTGGATAATGTGTTTTGTATACGCAAAGTAGGAGCAAAATGTATTTTAGAAGGAAAATAAACACAATAGAAAATATTAGAAAACCATGGGATTTGTGGATCTACAATAGTGAAAACTAAAAAGACAGAGACTGTAACTCGATTGTACCGTCACACTAGAAAGTGGCCAAGTGCAACCACCTGCTAATGCATAGTATAGCGACCTTAGGTTCAAATGTCAACCCATGTCCTAGGTGTGATGACTATTCCGTGAGAATCTTATTATTTAGTGGTTCAACAATAGTGAAGTTTCAACTAAACTAGCAAGCAAAATCAGTAAATGTTGTGTTCCAAGTTTGAGAGAGGTCACCCAGATATGGTTCCCCCTAGACTGCAGTTAAGCCAAGTTGTAATTTGCCAAGTTCATATTCAATGACAATTATACTACGGGAGGTTCTTAGACAGTCTGCAGTCTCAACTAAAGGTCTCCAGACCCTCTCAATCTGAGTCCCCAGCGGGCGACTAACCTCCACCGGAGTAAACAGACTAAGGCCCTAAGGTACCAAACCTCCTCTATTGGAATAAATCCAGTACAGAATAATGAATCGACTCCTCGACTAAAGTCGTCAATTCACTATCTTCAATCAAGGGTGCTCTATCAACCTATGCAGATATTCTCTTTCTAGGTCAAAGCAGGAATAACAGGAATTTGATCAGGATTCATGCAATTCAGAAAATCATGCCTCAATTGAATATAATCAGTATCAAAGAATTTGTACTTGGGTTCATACAACCATACCTAACATACAAATCTAGGGTTCTTCATACCCAGGTGAGTGAGAGAGTTTACTCCATAGAGAGAGAAGGGAAATCTAGGTCAGATACAGAAATCATGTTGTGAAGGATGAGAATTTGCTTCTGGTAGTCAATCAGCACTTCTCCAAGCTTTTACCGAGCTCCAATGGTGATGAAGATTGATCTAAGGCGCTTGGAGACTCTGGTTTGTCACTTTCTCTAAAATTCGGATCCCCCTCCAAAATGGCCTTCTTTCCCTCAAAAGGGTGCAGATCGCGATACCCGGTCGGGTATTTCAAGTGGCCGGCCGGGTATTTCGAAACGCAGCGCAACGGGCATAAGGGAATACCCAATCGAGGTCCAGAATACTCGATCGGGTATTTAAGCATTCCGGTCGGGACCCCTTTGCTTCCTGGCCTCCAAAACGAGTTCTACCTGGCCTCCCTTCGCATTTTACTCGGTCAGGTATTTCAGCTCCTGACCGGGTATTTCCGCCTGACAGCTCCTCTAGCTCCATACTTCCACTCTCCAATCCAAAACTCTTTTCCACGCCTCCATATCCACGCCAAGTCCTAAAATATGACATAAACGAACAACCTAGCGTGAAATCGGCCTAAAACACGAGAATCGACTCTCAAACGGTTTAAGAATGGTGGTCAAAACATGTGCAAATAATGGTCTATCAGACTGTTATGAAAATATTATTATTATGGATGATCATATTAGATGCTCAATGATATGTTACAAATTCTATGTAACTCCTCTTCTTATATTTGAATTATCCTAATGACACATTAGTCTCATTTATGTGTATTGATGTTAGAATTGTAGGAGTTATGTATTTGTGTCTATAAATAAAGCACACAAATGTACTAAGAGAGATGAATGAGAAAACTCTTATCCCCCTCATCTTGTGTCTCTTTATCTTATACTTGCTCCTCTTTCTATCATTTTATAACATAGACGCTCAATAATTGAAAATTGTTTTCTAATGATTTTACACTTTTTTAGGATGTTTACACCTAAATATATATTTTTTTCTCTAACTGATTAGTTTGGAGTTTTTTTTAAGGCCTAATTCCACTAGAAAGTCCAAACTATCCAAAAAGTGTTATTTGTGTCATAAACTATTCAATATAAAAAATCTGGCACGAACTATTTTTTTTCCTTAGTGTTGACTATGTTGACCATTAGTATTTAACGAAAAGTCCAATCATTGCTTACTTGTCAAATGACATGACACCAAATTTTTATTTTAATATTTTTCATATAAATAAAACAAAAAAAAAGGATAATACAAGTTTAAAAATATTATTTTTTCTGTTGCTTTACAAACTTACAAATAAATTATTAGAATTATTTAGCCACAATCAGACAAAAAATTACCAAAAATTGAAAAACACTGTTCCTTACGGGAAAAAATCGTGTGGCACTGTTCACCGAGAGATTTGATGATTCCTATGGTCCAATCTACGTAAGCTCATGTGTATCTATTTTGGGCAGACCAAGTTTGGCCGCTGATGATAGATTTAGGCCAATTGTGACCGTTGATGTTAATATTTAGGCAACATGTGACCATTGATGCTAGCCTGATCGGTGGGCCCCCTCGAAAAAACAAAAAGAATACGTTCTCGATAGTCGAAATTTATTTTTCTCTCACTTCCCAAAAACACACATCCCAAACCTTCTTCCCTTCTCTCCCATCCCTTCCCATCTCAATACCCGATCCAGAACTTCCCATCTCCGTAACCTCCAACCGACCAAACGCCGGCCCTTCTCTCCCATCCCATCTCATTCCCCGATTCACAACTTGCCATCTCCGTAACCTCCGACCAGACGCCGGCAGGAGATTGTGGCGACAACGAATTCCCCAACGCCAAACCCGCAATCGGACGCAGCCAAACGACACCTGATTTCCCCTCTCTCTCACCTCCCTGAACCAGCTGAATGACACGGCAGAGGGACACGGTGGCGACGAATTTCTTGGCGGCCAGCCAAATCGGGCGCCCGAAGAAGAATCTGGAATATACATGGGCGACGACGGCACCTGAGGATATCAACTCAAGGAATGGAGACGACAACAATGATTCTGACTCCTCTGAACCGGAAGGGGGATTTAGCTTTCTCCCGTCTCCCGGTTCGTTCCATTTAGGGAGTTTCTTCAGTAGACCCTTTGTTGGCTGCCATTCCAGATCTGATCCCAATTCCCCTTTCCTCCATCAGAAGCAGACCCAATCATTCAAGAAGAACGACCGGAGGCTGACCAAGTTGTTGGTCTGTCGATTCTCCTTCGAGGTTCGGGAGAAGCAGAATAGAGAAGAACGATGGTCATTGGATTCTCCTTTCTTCCCATCTCTTCTCCTCAGCATGGAGATTGATTTACCGAGGCGAAAGTGAACCATGAGACTGATTGCAGGACTCCGAGTCGGTCTTTGAAGTGCCACCTTTGCCGGTTTTCGATGAATCTCAAGAGTCAACAACCAATTTTTGCCCTGCAAATCCACTAAATTCGCAACGGATCTTCTGAGCCGAACTTCTGTTGTGGAAAAATTAGCCCAGCGAAAGACCGGGGTGAGATGGAATTCTTTCGATTTCTTTTCCTCTCTCTGCTCTACCTCATCCCAATTCCCTCCGACGCGATCTATACTCTGATTTTCCAAAGGCTCTTGCGATGGTGGCTGAATATCATTAGAGGAAAAACTTTCCCCAGAATGCCAACTACATATGGTCTCTTAATTTTGATGGTGCTTGCTAACAGAGGGATATAACGTTGAGAGGCATAGGAGAAAGAAGGAAATTTTGGGTTGGTGACATCTGTTTCCATTTGAGCTCAATCTTATCCCAAGTGTCCAACATGCAAATCATTGGGCTTTGTGTAAATAAAAGGAAACATTATAACCTATAATAATAAAATCAAACAACAATGTGATTTTATTTCATAACTAATTTCAGATTTTGCTTTGAGTAGCAATTCTCCCCACCTACTAATCTTATGCTATATTGAGATATACGGAAGAAAATTAGTTTCTTAAATTCATTTTGGAGCAGTATCTCTTAATATGGTTGTTCTACATCAACATAGGTTCATGAGCTATAATTGATGTCCATATATGTTGTTGGATTTGTTCCAAGCACTGTAGAAAGAAACCATCTCATTCTCATTCATCTGCAACTATCAAGCTTTTTATGTACAAATGTTTGATCATCTTAGTTTGATTGTTTCATCTTTTTTATTTGGAAGATTATTTTAGCAGGTTAGTTGTTGTTTCATTGTAATTAATTAATACTAGGGAGGAAGCCAACGCTTCGTGACGAGAGTCACAAGACAAAATCATTAGTAATAGAACAGAGATATTGATCACATATATTCTCAATGTGTTCTTATGGCGACAGAAGGCTAAGTCTGTATCTATCATTTAAAAGCAGGTAACAATAAAGATCCATTTCAATAACTCTCACCTACATGTAGATAAAAAAGAGTTAAGTAGCTATTCATGTTTTGTTTTACAGGGAATGAGAAAAGAGTTGCGTGGCAGACAAAGACATGTAAAGTTTCACAAAAGCACCACCTCACGCTATGGTCGGGTCGGGTACATTTGGTGGCTGGCCTCTATAAGGCTGTCCACAACCCTAGGGCTAAAAGGCTAAAATGTCCTTTTAGTCCCAATAAAGCATCTTTAATCATGAGGCAAATTTGAGGGGTAAAAGGCTATAAGGGGTTTTAGGGGGCTATTTTAGCTCTTATTTGGGAGGGTTTTAAGAGGGGGCTAAAATGGCGAGAGCTAAAATGGTGGAGATTATTTTAACTTTCCTTTGTTTTAGTACTTAAATTGAATGTACTTGTGTTGTTGTGAGTGCTTTTAACTAACGAAGTTCCTATCGTTGTAACTTTCAACCATTTGATTGTTATTTGAAAAAAAAAAATATTTAAAAATTGAAACGTTCTTCCATTTCAACTAAAAAAAGGTATCTCCGAAATTGTTCAAAATCTTGGTAATTTTGATGAACGAAGTTCATTTAAGTGTAACTTTCTTCCATTTCAACTAAAAACAAAGTATCTCAGAATATTTCAAATTTTATCGGAATGTTCGTATTTAATTATTGTGAATGAATATATAAATTTTAAAGTAAAAAATATAATTTTAACTATTCATAAGTTATGATTACTAAATACGAAACATAAATTTTAGCCATCAGGGTTGCAACTGTTTCTGTTTTTTAGGGGGCTAAAAGGCTAAAATAGCCTTAAAACCTCCAATTTTTGCCCCTCAGGTTGTGGTTAGCCTAAGGGGAGGGAAAAGCAACATTGTCAAATATGGGAGGCAAAAGCAGAACGCGTAGGGTTTGCAAAGTTCAAGGCAAGAGCAATTGCTGCTTTGCAAGTTTCCTATAACATTATTTTAGACGATTTGTAAATCATCCAAAACTTCAAAATAAAAATACCGACGCGTAGCGCGGGCTAAATGGCTAGTAAGATATTAAAAAATAACCCAATCTACCAACTCTTTGTGTGCACCTTCCATTCCCCAGATTCCCTTCAATTTGAACCCTAATTATAATCCACTCGATGTCACACCTGAGATTTACAAAGGGTAGTTCTTATCTGGGCAACCTTAAAATAGATTAGCAATGATGTATTGGTGTGGCCCTCCTTATGAGCTGTCTCGTCTAGAGGTGACGAATGGATTGGATTCATGGGTTGATGGATTGGATTGGTGGATCCATGGATCAAATAATTGGATCCAATGGGTTGGTGGATTCATGGATTGGTGGATTGATCCATGAATCCAAATGACATCCAAGGCTTGGACCAAAATGTAAATCGTGAAAAGTTTAGGTACTAAAATGTCATAATAATAAAAATTTTAGGGATCAAATGTACTTTTCAATGATATTTTTTGTATATAATATAAATTTTGGGTAATAAAATGTAAAATATAAAAAATATAGGTACCAAATTGTAATTTGTCATTTGGATTCATGATCCATAAATCTACCAATCCAATTAAATTTTGATCAAATGGATTGAATATAAATGAATTGGATTATGTGGATAATTTGGTGGATGGATTGGATTGGATTCATGGATTTAGATCTTAATTGCCACCTCTAGTCTCGTCCAAAGCCATATCCTTTCCCCCGTTGTCGATGACGAACATCATCGATTCAGCCACGAGGAAACAGATACGCGTCACCTCTGTCGCCGTTGGAGACAGAGGGTCGTAGAGCCAGATCTCCTCCCGCTGCTTCTTCCCCTTCGCCTTTTTCGACGAAAGCATCCTTTGTCGTCTTTTAGAGGCCTGAATCCAAGAAAGGTCGAAACTTCTCTTGGTGCGGAAGGAGAAGAAGATTTGGAGGCGGAAGAAGGCCACTCGTTTGCGGCGTTCTTGATTGAGGGAAGAACAAGGTCTGGGTCCCGAGGAAGCCCTCTTCCTTTTGCCAACCTGGTTGTGAGCCATGACTGCGATTTCAAATATTTATGAGATCTGTCCTGATGAGTTAACCCATTTATTGACGCCGATTGGATGACGAAGCGAGGGGATTCAGGCCGGATGTTGAGACAAAAATCAGAAGCAAGGAAGTGGGTCTGGCCATCCAGTAGAAACTTGATGTTCGAATTTTGCAGATGATGGAAGAACGACATCGCTCTGTAAGGAAGAGAATGATTTTTTTTTTTATAGTTTTTTTTTTCAAAATAATTTAATTTATTAAGAAATGAATTATTTATAAAAAAAATCATAAATTACACATATTATTGATGTGGCAACTTCGTGGCTCACATGTAGGCGTGATTTGGGCATAATTACACATGTTTTGCCCCGTTTGACTTAGATGTTTGTGCCAAATTCGCTCATTATAGGTTTGTTTTACGCGAGGTTCTTCGTGTTTGAGTGCTTTTCAGGATTTAACAGGTGGAACAAGCCTCGGAGTTGAAAGATTGGCGAAAAGGATCGAAAACCAGGAGAAGAGGTGAAAAAGTGCTAATTCACTGCTAAAGGCAGGAGTTCACGGTCGTGCAAGACTGTGAAGCGCAAGGCGTCCAGAGCCAATTTGAAGGTTACTGACGCAAGGTGAGTTCACGGTCACTAAGACCGTGAACACAAGCAGTTGCCCGTGAACTGACGTGAGCGATGCGGAGCGTTTTGGCGCGCGGCTTGAATTCACTGACGCGTTTGATGGTTCACGGCCGTGAACTCAGCTCTTCTCGTGTTTAAAAGCTGAGCTGCAAGGAGGAGAGAAGGGTGAGCCACTTTGTGAGAGAAACTTTCTTCTACAGTCTAGAGAGAGAAACACGAACCAAGAGAAGAAGAAAACTAAGGTTTGCTCCAAGGTGGATTTTGAGGAGAATTCCTTCAAGGAAATTCCAGCACAAGGATTAAGAAGAGCGGGAGCATCCTTCAAGATGGTTTTCTTCTTTTCTCCTTGTGTTTTCCTCACTTCTAGTATGGAGCAGTTTTCCCTTTCACTTGGGTGTTGCGAAACTCTAACTCTACCATGTAGTATCCTTTATGTGAATTTGAATGATTTCCATTGGGTATTGTTTAATTCAATGTTGAGATATTTTTCACTTGATTGCGCATGTTTATGCTTAGCATCCTTAGGCTTGTGCATGTTTAGTGCTTAGCAACCTAAGGGGTGTGCATGTCTATGCTTAGCAATCCAATTAGCCATTTAACCTAGTTTAGAGAGGGAAACCTCCCCTTCTAAGGGAGTCTCAATTGAGTTGGTGTCCCTAGGGCTTTCTAAGACTTCTAACTAGGTTAATTTAGGGCAATCCTTAATATTGAATTGAACAATTTGGTAAAGCACAATTAACCATCCAACCCTTGGGTTGAAGTGAGGGAGTAAGTCGACCTTTGATTGGCTAAACCGAGAGGGCGTAGTGACAGCCTATAATGCATGCCTCGGTTTAGCAATCTCTATGATTACATTCGCGTCCCTTAGTGGTTAGTGTTTACCTCGCCCAAAGAGATCATTCCGGTTCACGTACCATGGTAGGAGTTAGGAGGAAGCAACACCCGAGTGATCTTCCCACAAAGAGTTTTCAAAACCAATTACCTTTGCCTTAGTTTATTTTACTTTGCAAACTTTTAAACCAAAACTTTGATTGCTAGATAATGAGTCCAACAGTTGAAGTAGGGGTAGACGGACCGGTCTGGGTTGATATTTAAACATACTTGTCCTATACTACACCCATCTAAGGTTTATACTTGGGCCTTAAACGGGAAATCATTGTGGTATTCGGAACGAGTCAAGGCGCCATGTTATTATGATCAAACATACATTTGACCACCTTCAATTCAATTGTTAAACTTAACGTTCAACAAAATATTTGGGCTACAAATGACCGAAATCTCATAGTTTGAAACAAATTTGTCATATTGAATAGTTTAGGACACAAATAACACTTTTTTGGATAGTTTGGGCTTCCTAGTGGAATATCCCTTGTTTTAAGTAGGCCCACCTAGGTAATTGTAATAATGATTTGGATCACAAAAGAGTTTTTAGGTCTTATTTTATTTGGCCACTATCAACAACATCGCGGTGGTCAAAGATGTCTCGAGTTCAGCGGTGGTGCGAGTTTGCCAATGCCGCGAGTTCAACAACATTGCGAGTTCAATAATAGCACAATGGTTAAGAAAGACGTGGGCCTAATGCCCTGATGACATCGTGAGTCAAACAATGTTGGGAGGTTAGCGGCGTTGTGAGGTCACCAACGTCGTGGTGAATCGACAATGTTGCAATCTCAACGATGTCGTATTGTAAGCCACACCGTGGTTCACGTGCGATGTGGAGCTACAGTGCGAACCCACAAAGTCACCGTGCAACATTATGGTTTGTGGTTGCCCGAGGATGATTCAAGCAACACCATGGCTCTAGCAACATCGTGGTTGGAATCTCATTGAATTTAGAACAACATTGCTCTAGCAATATCGCAGGCTCACAACAATGTTGACGTTCGAATAATGTCACGGTGCGAAACCGCGTTAAAGCATTATGTGTTCGAGGTACAAGCCACAGTAACAACTAGGTGGTTAGCTATACGTGTGTGCCTCACATAGAGAAAAGTGGGGATGGGAGATGCATAGTCATTCTATACTACAACTTCATAACCAAGAGTGGTGAACGTGAGACAAGAGTGCGAGATAGTTTTTTACAAAGGAGTTGTCGTGAATGTTGTGTATTTGTTTTTTGGATAAAATAAGCAGCATAATCAAAAGAACGCGGACGGCAAAAATCGATAGAAACAACACATCTGCCTCACTTTATCTTTTTCTCCGTAACTCCTACTTGGAGAGCTCTCCTCCCATAAAGAATTTTTGAATTTTCCATTCGTGTAGAAGCAGTCATAGTCGTGATAGCTAAACTCTTAAGAATCTACACTAAAGTAAACTAATTTAACACACTCTTTTTTTTAAAACATTATTTGAGAATATGCGAATCGAGTAGCAATCGTCTTGATTTATGGGAAATCAGTCTCTCAATCCAAGCAATCAACCAAACAAATCGGCCTACAAATTGATTTCATCCATATACATAGTGAGTGGGGGAAATAGCTCCCCTGCTCGTTCTCAACCAAGTCTCACCTCACCTCAGTCCACATCAATGGCCCCTGAGCCAGCAGCCACAACTCCACAACCACACCAGTTCCCTTCCGTTCCTTTCGTGAGTTTCTCATTTCTTTTCTTTATAATAAGGCTGGGGGACAGTGAAGAAGACGGAAGTAGGAGTCGCGCAGTGAAGAGTGAAGAACCCAAAAGGGTCGTACTTATCGTTTCCACCAATTTTGGTTTTGTCGTCAATTGTTTTGCAAGAGGCGATGAAGAAATAGGAAGGATAAAAAATAGAGCCAGAGAGAGCCGTTTCCGTGTGCTATCCGTGTTCTTTGTCCCTCTGCTGTAGACAATTTTAATTTCCCTCCTTGTTTTACAGCTTTCTAGGGCTTTCGATGTTACTGCTACTATAATACGCACCTCACGTAGACACATACAAACCACGTCCTTTCCTTTCTCTCTCTGTTTCAGCTGCAATCCGGCCCCTGTCTCTCTCTCTGCTGCGCCCAGCTGGTTTCTGCAATCTGGATAACATTCTGAGCTCAACGCACAGACTGGTATGTCTACTCTACAACTACCTGTTGCAAATATGAAGGATTACCCTCGCCGCATTTCCCTTTATTCAGTTGGTTTAAACTGATTTCCCAAAAGAAGCCGTGTTTTCTCGAAATGGGTTCGTGGCAGAACTTGTTCATCGAATCTGCACATCATCTGTTTGTAGAAATGCCTGTGTGGACCAGAAATCTCCTTACTTTCTTTTGTTTCTACTTTTATCTTCCATCTTATTGTCCGTCCCTAACTAGCTTGCTCCAAAGCAATTTCACTAAACCACGAAAAACAAAGACAGCTGTGTGGGAGCTTGACATCCTTTTCTCCGATTGCATTTTTGGTTACTATTGGTTCTTTCCGCTGCGTTTTCCAATGGCGGGATTCTGTTTTCTTGTGGCAGGGGGAAGGTTGTGAAGTAAAATTCTTTGTTGGGGCTTCTGGATAGAAGCTGACATCCACACAACTCTGGCCGACTCGGAAGAGATATCCATTGTTCCAACCGGAAAAGGCTTTCAGCTTCCCATTTCCCGTGTTCGATCACCCAGTGCCGTCGTTGTCGGGTCCTTGCTATGGTGTCTTCCCGTTGATTATGGCTAACTTGTGATCAGGCTGTTTGTGGGATGTGACTCGTTTTTACCGTTCTTCAATCAGCAGCTGTAGGAGATGTGAGTTCTTCATTAGTTAAAAGAAACCGAGGAGTAGTAGAAGAAGAGAAACTGTGAAGAAAGTTGAACTCGGGAGAAGGAAAAATTGAGAACTTTCAGTCAAGGACAGGAAGAGTGGTTTAGGATGGCGAAATTTAACTGCTTTTCGAAGATGTGTGGACACCGACACAAGGTTGGACGATCTTTGATATAATCTTTGCGTTCCATTGAACTTTTTGTTCAAAATTAACTACTGCTTCTAACTCCTTTTGTTCAAATTAGGGTGGAAAGGTATCATCCAAGGCTCTGGAGTTCAACAAGGCGCTGACGAACTTGCAGGTCAGAGTTGAAAAGCCTTTCAAGAGCGATGATGAGACTAAAATGGCTTCTTGCAATCTCTCGGTTCCGCATGATGTGCAGTATGATTCCCTGAATGTCAAGGTGATGATGACCCATGAGACTGCTGGTGAGAAGGAAGAAGCATCCTACGAAGGGGGAGATGAGCACGAAGAGAATGTCTCCTTCAGAAGGGACTTATCTGACCTTGATCTCCAATCCCGCCTGCCTAATTCTGGTGAAGAAGAAGAAGAGCTCATCCCAACTCCTAGAAGCCAGACTTTGGTTCACTCTCACTCCGTTGAAGATGTGATTGATTTAGGCCGAAGTGGGCATATCAGTGATCCAGGGATTGGGAAGGCTCCATTTTGGGGCTCCCCTAAGCTTAAGCGCTCATGCTCCAACCTCGAAACCAGCAAAGTTATGAGACAAGTGGCAAATTCTCCATGCTCTGGGGAATCACAGGAACTGCCTGCAAATTTTTGGTCAGGCAGCCCTCCAGTTTCTGTAGCTAGCCGTCATAGTGCAGACAGAGTGATGTTGAGAAAACACTCATCGAGTCAAATTCTGCCATCACGAAGTAGAAGGCTTTGGTGGAAACTATTTCTCTGGAGCCATAGGAACCTCCATAAACCTTCAACTGCAAAGCCAGAGCAATTTGCTGCTGCCTCAAACCAACCAGGTGGTGGGTACTCGTCAGATACACTTGAACCAAGCAAAGGTCAGTCACGAGCGGAATCCTCACACAAGAACCACATAAATCATGAAGTTGGCAAACACAATTGGGATGGCTTTCAAAACCACTGGGTTGCAAACACTTTTTCAGTTGATTCATCGTCGCCCTTAGCTAGAGTAGACAAATGGGTGCATAATATCGACATCGAACCCCTGCCTGAAAATCATCATGATGACGTTGATGACGGCATTGTTTATCCTCCTTCCCCTGAGGATCATAGGTTTCAAGTTGCTCATGTATCAGAAGACATTCTACATGCAAACGGTGTCATCCTGTCTCTGAACTCTTCATCAACTGTGGCTCACATTTCTGGAACAGGGTTAAAAGTCATTCCGTCCTTGGCACCTTTCACCAGTCTTCGCACAGTCAACTTGGCAAACAATTACATAGGTAAGTGAGGTACCAGTTGAGGGCAATTGTTCCATTTGTGGATGAAGAAACATGTCAGTAGCCATTGGGATTCATTTCATATTGCATTTTCTTTGGCAGTCAGTATCACTCCAGGATCATTGCCAAAGGGACTTCACGCGCTTAACCTGTCGAGGAACAGGATTAATGCTGTTGAGGGACTGAGAGAATTGACTCGATTGCGGGTACTGGATCTTAGTTACAATCGCATCTCTCGAATCGGGCAAGGTAACAACCCTATCCATCTCAAGTACTCGGTTTCTTTTAGTATTCTGGTTTGCATTTTCTACTGAAAACTTACAATCCGAAAGTTTGTGGAACATAAAAAAGTCTACAATCTAAGGGAATGTTCTAAAGAGGCAAATTTTCATGGCGATGAATCCAGGGCTTTCGAACTGCACTCTAATCAAGGAACTCTACTTAGCTGGGAACAAAATTAGTGACGTCGAGGGACTTCACAGACTCCTGAAGCTCACAGTGCTAGACCTCAGCTTCAACAAGATAACAACATCGAAAGCTCTCGGTCAGCTTGTCGCCAACTACAGTTCCCTCCAAGCACTGAACCTCTTGGGGAATCCAATTCAGACGAATATCGGCGATGACCAGCTCAGGAAAGCGGTTTATGATCTACTCCCTAAGCTGAAGTATCTAAACAAGCAATCCATAAAGCCACAGAGAGCAAGGGAACTGGCGACCGACAGTGTGGCAAGGGCTGCACTCGGTTCTAGCAGCAGCAGGGGTTTCCATCGGCGAAGGTCTACGAGGAGGGCAACGGATTCTGCTGGTTCTTCGTCCTCCCCAGTTGGACGCAGGAGTATGGCAACTAGTGGTGGTGGTGGTCAGAGAAGCAAGAGCATTGGTAAAAGCCGCGCCCATATATCTAACGGAAGGGCTGTGACGTCGTCTACTCCTGCTTCTTCATTCCGATCCAGAGCCTGAACGACCATTTTTCCTTGGATTGCGGTAAACGATCTTCTTTGTACGTTCATGTGAGTCCCTCGATGTTATTATATCATACTCTCCGTTCATATGGGATGTTAGTAAATTTTGATCTCCTCTCGATTCTACCGAGAAGTGCAATAAAATGGTGGAGCTGACTTTGAGTGTGCTGTGTGCATATTTTTGCTTTTACAGTTACGACTTACGACTACAAGTTGAGTTGATTTAGATTTTAGATTTATAAGAGAAAGTTTTCTTGTATAATAAATTTCCAGCAATTCTCGAACCGTTCTCGATGTATGTAAAAAGTTATATTTTTTTCTCTGATTTATTAATAAAGCGCCATGATTCACAATAGTTTTTAATACTTCTATTTTAGTTCTTTTAATTTTCAATTTTTTATAATTTCCTCTTATTTAGAACTTCATCCTTAACAAAAGTTCAGCCAATTCTTCTCTGATAAATAAAAAGCCATTTAATTTATTGTTTGATTTCACCTTACTAGTACCTACCACTTTGGAGGAAGTTCCTATTGATAAACTTTCCACTTCATTTCTCTTTCTAGAAAATGAATTCTTCATGTGCACCTCCTGATTAGGGATGGCAACAAAACTCGAACCCACGGGTACCCACCCGACCCAACCCGGTCAATGCGGGTAAAATTCGTGTTGACGGGTTTTGGGCCGGGTTCGAGTTTAAACCCGCTACACTATTCACCGGGTCGGGTTGGGTTTGGGTTTAGGTAAACTCGACCCATGGGTACCCGCCCACACACATATAATTACTTTCCCGGTATATTTAATATTCTAAATAATATATTTTCCTTAAGCAATTAATATTCTTTGTGTTTGTGGAGACATGTACAATTTGTTCTTTCTAATTGTTTAAAATGAAGTTGATATTATGAAGTGGAGAGTGAATAAACTTAGTTGACGAGGAAGAAGCTTTCAATTAATCTTTTGTTTATAGATGTTTATCTTTAATTTTGAACAATTTGTATTGATCATTTGCGGTTTGCTTGTATGCTCTAGATTGGTGTTTTTTTGTATGATTAATTTGTATGAGAAAATTGATGTTAAACTTTTATTTTGAAAGAAACTTGTTATTGTAAATTTTTTACCATAAAAACCCACGGGTACCCATGAACCCGCCGATACCCAGCGGGTTGGGTTTGAGTTTTTCAAACCCAACGGGTTTTACCCCGGGTTTTTTTGGCGGATAAACCCATGGGTTTGGGTTTGACAAAACCCGCCCCAACCCGACCCATTGCCATGAATCCATGAATCCAATCCATTTAAATCCAATCCATTTGATCCAAATCCAATTAGATTGGTGGATTCATAGATCAATCAATGGATCCAAATGACAAATTACGATTTGGTACCTATATTTTTTATATTTTACATTTTGGTACCTAAAATTTTTATTTTTATACAAAAAATAACATTGGAAAATTACATTTGGTACCTAAAATTTTTCATCATGACATTTTAGTACTAAACTTTTCAAAAATTACATTTTGGTCCAAGTCTTGGATGTCATTTGGATTCATTGATCCATTTGATCCAATCCATTTGATCCACCAATCCAATCCACAAATCCATAAATCCGATCCAATTGCCACATAACTACTAAATGCGCCCGCCATAAAGTTGTGGAGGAAACATAGGCAGGCAAGGATTCGGGCCGCACAAGAAATTGGCATGTGATTGTGGTCACTCTTTATTATTTATGCAAATGCATGATGGAGCAACCTTATCAATATCAGCAAGCCGCGGTTGCATAACTACTGCAATTATTGTTATTCGTCACAATCTAACTACTAAAATTAAACGGATGGATCGAATATTCTCAATTACAATCCAACCTATCAACATAGTAACCGGACCTCTTGCAACTTCCAACTATACTCATAAGCAAGATTGTCAAACCGATTTATGTTAATAGTCAATAGGTCGATTTCGTAGCTGGAATGATTCTACTAATTATATGCACATATAAAATAGTTGGTGCACTTGCTTTAGTAATTACATTGATAATTTAATGAATATTGATATTTACTTTTTGTAATTATAAATCTCTAATGTTTTACGACTAATGGCGAATGTTTAAATCTAGTAATAATTTAAATTATTTATAAACTTGAGCAGCACAAGAAGACAAGGGGAAACAAATGGTAGGCACAAGCTTATATGAAACACAACCAGGATGATGGCAAAGATGATTAGTTACAGGCTTCACCAAGTTTCCAGAGTCCAAGGCTCTTTCAGCACCACCAGACATTTCAACAAATCCATCTCAATCAAATATAAAATAAAAAAAACGGCATTTTTCACCATTAGACCCCAATCCGGCCGATTTATACATAAGCTTTTGTATTTTGTTTAAAAATGATAATTATATTTGTCAACATGTCTGATATTTATAAAAAAATTGTATAATATTTTCCTGAAATTGTATTGTTTTTAACAATTTTTTCCGTTCTAGTAATTTATTGTTGTAAACCAAAAGAAGCTACTCTTCTGTTACTAGGACGGAGAATTCTATCACGATTTCTGGTCTAAGCGGAAACAAGTCTGATTAAACTGAATCGATTTCAAACGAGAACAGGATTCTCACCTATCCAATCCAATTAACGATCAATGGGGACTACGAATAATCAGTTTAATTCGGTTTGCTAAAACCTGAAAAATCGATGAAACTAGATCATATCCCCAAGTCCAGCCCACAACCTCATTCCCAACCATTTTGTGATATTAATGATACTTTGGCTAAGGCATCTGGACAAGAGTATAATGAAATGGGTGTTAGACATGATAGAATCCATGAATTGATCGATCACATAATTGTGTCTATATACAATATGTCCAGACTTGAAAGAATTTAACTAATCATTTGATAAAATGATTCGCTAGAGACATGTAATGATGCCAACGGGCGGGTGGGTACCTCAATTCCCATGCCCAATCTCACACTAGGCGAATAAAACCCGTAGGATACGGGGCGGGGCGGGGCGGGTCGACCCACTCTTACATGTTATTTGGAAAGATGCGCGCAAATTTACTTTTTACGATAAAATAAAGGGAAAAACACTTTCTGAAAGAAAAATGTTGATAATAAAATGTGTAATTGAGTCTAACAAGTTGAAATATCGACTCTAACTAGTTGAATAAAAGTAAAAATAGGAGAAATATGTATGGATACCGTAAGGAATTGAGATAAAATGGGTCTAGAACCGAGCGAGTGGGACATGAATGGTCGGAAGTAGATACTCATACCCCATTCCACGCTGCTGCAGTACGGGTAATACTCATCCATCGCAGGTCGGATCGAGTAATACCCGCGGGACGGGTTTAAATTGCAACCACACATGGTGGTCAAATTTAAGAATGTGATTGTTTAAAGTAGATCCTATTATACGGTTCTCATGTAGAGTTAGAATGCATGGTATCACATAATGGTATCCAAAACAAGCACTGAATTATAACATTACATGAAAATCTTACAAATCTCACCAACAAAATACATAAAATCTTCAAAATTCATGTCAAGGGTACATACAATGACATTTTCTGATCATGCATTAGTTCATTCTGATTTACTTTTGCTTATACTTATCCTTGATTGAAGGCAAAACAACATAAGAAGAAACTAGAGAAGGGACACCTAATTGAGTTTCAGCTCTTCAATCTCTGTACCTCATTTCTCCGAGGACGTGAAATGCGCGCTCACCCCTAGCGACTCCCACATACTGGAGACCAAATTGAACAGAAAGCAAGCCTTCCGTGTAAAATTGTCAAGCCAGCTGATAAGAAGTTAAAAACAGATGAGGTCTGAACATTTCTAGCTTGTAGACCCACGGGCATGAGAAATCAATCAAGTGATTTAACTCTGAGATCCTATCCTAGGAAAAGTTCTCTAAAAAGATTATCTATATCAGAATGCAGGCATTTCAGCATCTCTCTTGTCCTTAGGTATCATGTCAGAGAACTAAGTACACTCCACTTCCAATTGAAGGAAGCAAGTCTTGAACACACAACACAAGAATCAACTATTACAAACTAGCAGAATCAGAATCATATAGAATGTCGGTCAATCAACAACATAATCATAGAGCTGCTTCTCGTGCAAGGAAACCAAAGCGTGTTCTAATTGATCGAAGGATGCAAAGAGTGTTTTTATTGATCAAAGGATGATACCTGTAATGTTCGATATGTTCAACTGACTGAATTTGACATGATCCACTGCAGCGACCCTGAAGAAGTGGACTCCAATGCTCTTCCACTTCCCCACCATACCAAACTCATATTACGACAGTGAACGAACAGAGTCGGTCTTTCAACTATGCATCATCAGCACACAGCACATGCAGGTTTACAACTCCCCTTTCTTCATTTCAGCATACCTACACAATTTCTCATTGAAAAGCACTTGAGGATCCTTATCAATGAGATTTCCCTTCTCGTCATAAGCATCTTTCAGAAACACAGCCCAGTTCATCTCAGTCCCAGCAAGGTAGAATGTCCTGGGCTGTTTCTTCAGCATGGCATACGTATGCTTCGTCAAGCAGAACTCATCCTTGAACTCCACAATGTGATGAATGGAAGCTCGCTTCTCCAAAGTCAGGCTGAGAAACTCGTGCACAACTCCAACCCTGTACTTTTCAGCCTCCAAGCTCCAGAGATCCAACTCATGGCCATCGCTGCTGTATGGCGAAACCAAGGGCAATGTGTTCAAAAGATTCAACGTCCTAGCATCTCCCTCATCCAAGTCCAAATCTTTAGCATATTTGACAGGAAACTTAAACGCTCTCTTGACTTTCTCCTCATCTACCATAAACTGCCTCTCCAACTCGCTCACCGCCAAGCTCTTATCCCAATTCACCAATTCCAGCGCTCGATTCCCATCACTCCCAACCACAACCCTAAATCGATCCGGATACTTTACCACTCTATCTCGAAAATCATCAGGAATTCCAAACAATAATCGACAATGATGAATCTTACTCAATGGAATCCGCTTCTCCTTGGACATCATCAACAGCTTCGTGACCTTGTTCACCCTGTCGATCTCCATGGAATCCATAATCGACCGCTCCTCATCGAGCAGGTCCTCCATGAAATCCGTGAACCCTAGCCACAGCTTGTTGTCCGTGTGACGGTAGGTCTGGAAGAGTGACGGATGGCGGTCGAGGTAGCGAGCGATTTTCCGGCCGCGAGGGAAGCCGAGCTCGCGGTAGAGCTTGCCGGCGTCGTCGAGGCGGAGGACGTGGTCCGGCTGCTGGGAGAGGAACTGTTTGGATCGGGTGAGGAAGCGGAAGTGGGCATCGCGGTCGACGAAGGATTCGAGGTGGTGGTTTCTGGTGGAAGGATGCTGCTGGGCGAGCTTGGTGCGAGGGGAATCGGGCTTCTTGCGCTGCTTCTTGAACTTTTTGGGGGTTTTGGTGACGAGGAATGAGGTGGAGAAGTGGGCTGAGGCTGAAGAAGAAAGAGGGAAGAAAAGGGTAGGGTTTTGGAGGACGGGTGGGGAAGCTAGGGTTTTGGCCGGGTTGGGGAGGTTGAAGCTGCAGACGAGGAAGCGGCGCCACGCCATGGGAATCGGAAAATTGGGTTTGGAGAAAGACGACGGCGGCGGATGATCAGGGATAACAAATGGAGGTATTACGAAAATTTAAAAAGTAAATAAATTCCGACCTGCCGGATTCGAACCAGCGACCTAAGGATAGCTTTCAGGTGATAACCAACTACAGTCCTCCGCTCTACCAACTGAGCTACGGTCGGGTTGTTACTACTGGTTGAAGAAACTATTTTTATACTTTGTGGAAACCCTGTGAATTTCAATTTGATTTATACATCAAAACAACAATCAGCCTTACATAAGTATGAAGCAAAGACTGAACCAAGCTTTAAATCCAAATAGAGGCCCAATGTGGTCGAAAATGAGAGACAATATACGACAAACGCAAGATAAAAATCTATCGTGTCGTTTGTCTTAATAAGTTCTAGTTGATACGAGGCAAATGTCGCACCTTTTTTGTATCAGACTTCCAACTTCATATTATCCATTTCCTCCTTTCTCAACTTAGAGACTAAGACCTGACAAACCGATTTAATCATAAGGGGACTAATTCTTCGACAATTTGCCTCATGCATACATGGTCAAATGAGGCGCCCAAATGGATAGCGTTCAAGGGCAGCTTGACCAGATGATGAAATCTCTCACTTCGATAGCAAAAGGATCAGGAGCCCGACCCCTCAGATGTGGCAAAAACGAGCGCCATAAGCTCAAAAGGAAAGCGCAAAGGCAAAAGAGGAAGTGATTGACGCGCTACTCAATACTAAAGACCCTGAAGAGGAAGAGCGCGAGTATGAAAATCTTGTCCTCTAGGACAACGACTTGACAAACATCTTCTACTTAGCCAGCTATCGGGGGGCCAAAATCCTCTCTTTCTATGTTCCTCAAAAAATCCAATTCGTGCAAATTATTGTTCCAACTAAGGAAGAGGTGCCGCATATGAAATTTAGCACAACTTTGCAAAGAAATAAGCCACTTCTTTCTCAAGAAGATAAGGGAAACATGGTCAATGTCATTTGATTGAATAGTTAATTCATCTCCTTGGTTCATGGAAAAAACACCTTTTATCAACCTTCCCCACAACTAGAGGTGACAATTGGATTGGATTCATGGACCAAATGGATTGGTGGATTGATCCATGAATCCAAATGGCATATAAGCCTTGGACCAAAATGTAAATTTTGAAATTTGGTACTAAAATGTCATAATGAAATTTTTTTGTACCAAAACATAATTTTCCAATGATATTTTTTGTATAAAAATATAAATTTTAGGTAGCAAAATGTAAACTATAAAAATTTTAGGTACTAATACCGTAATTTTCCATTTGGATTCATGGATTGATCCATCAATCCAATTGGATTTGAGTCAAATGGATTGGATTGGATTCATGGATTTGAATCCTAATTGCCACCTCTACCCACAACAGAACAATGAAGCGCTCGAACCTTCAAATAGACATGTTCCAAGAAGGTGATGAATACTCTCATACGCTCCGACTTTGGTAATATGGATCTACCATCATACGAAGGAAGGTCCGATCCCAAAGGTCACCTCAATGCTTCTATGTCTAGCTCCTCAACACCTCTAATGCCACCCTATGCAAAGCTTTTCCCTCCGCATTTGCAAAGATGGTGCACCCAATGGTACTCCTCATTTTGAGAAGGCATCATACACAACTCAGACAATTTGTCATGCCAGCACTAATGAGAAGCTGGTGAGGTCCTCTCGCGTAAACGGGAAAGTGAGGCACTTGGCAAATTTGGTAGAGAAATATTCAAAAGAACATCTTGATGGAAGAGGCACTAGGTGTAAGAGCAGAAGAGTGTCATGCCAGGCGCCAGCTCAGTGGTAGGGACAACACAAGAAGTGAGAGGCGCATCCTAGACTGGTGCAAATAAGTCAAACATCCGAATATACGAGTGAGGCGGTACTAGGGGTGGAGGTTCGGTTACCGGTTTCCGGTTAACCGGTTGATTAAACCGATAATCGATCGGTTATTCACTCATCGATAACTGATATAATCGAAGCATATTTAGGTCGGTTGTCGGTTTGGGGGGTGGCCACCGACCGTTCGATTACCGGTTTCCGAAATAACCAAAAATCCACCCCGAGGCACGATGTGATTAGCAACACTCAAAGTGACACACAGGGACAAGAAAATTAAAGAGCCAGAAAACCATCAAGAAAACACCTATGTATAGTGAGTGTCACGACTCGCATACTCAAAACACAATAGACTTATATTTTGCTTCAACAAAGCCACGAAGGCCTACTTGGATCGAGGAGGAGTACGAGACATGTTCCAAAGGTCAGAAATAGGCGCTCGGTTGCCACCGATGTCAAGAACTAGTGGTTCCAATAACTCGAGTTGTTGAGAGAGAGGTTCAATCGTGGATCATATATCATTTACTAACACACCCTCTCAAAACGAAAGTCAGTTAACTCATAAAGGTTTTCGTTTGCACATGTCCTAAATACGGAAAAAAAATACATGTGCTTTACAAATGGGGTCACCGGAATTCGAATATAAAACCTTTCGATCACAGAAGACTCTGATACCATGTCAAGAATCAGTGGTCCCAATAACTCAAGTAAAAGAGGTTCAACCGTGAATTATCTCTCACTCACTAATACTCAGGGATTGTAGCTCTGCTAGATTAAGGAGCAAGAGCGCCAACCAACCAATGAGTATGAGTCATGACTACTAGTAGTAGTAGTAGGGGTGAACAAAACATACAGAATATCAATCCACCATAATATCCGACAATATCTAATTTTTAAAACCAAAACCTTAAGGTAATACTATATTATACATTTATTATATACTCCTCCATCATAAATCTCTTATTTTAATTATTATTTATTCATGTAATTTGTTTATATAGTTAGTGTTATAAATTGAAACTCAAAGTATTTTCTTAATATATAGACCTATCTTTGCATCCTCTCTTTATATTATAATTTTTAGGTTACTACCGTGTATTAATAAATAAAATATTTTTAATCCTTCTATTTTTCTAGTATGAATACAATATGTTGTTACAATATCTTACTTGTTTTGTAGTTCCATAGTGTCATATATATATTAATATTATTTGTCGTATTATATTACTAAAAGTAAGGTAACGACTTGTGTACTTTAGGAGTATGCTCAAGGTGATCTGGCCGTTAGATGTGTTTAGATAAAGCTCTAATCAATCTCAACAGTCAATTATTATTTCCTATTAAATTGAACTTGGAGATTGGGTTTAGAGAATCGGGGTCTGGGGTTTATTCATTATATGTTACAGTATAGTATCATATTTCAAACTCGGTTTAATTCATGACTAGATATAGATATCTCACTATTGAGTACCTGGAGTATAGTCTAAACGTTTTGTTCTCGTGTAATGAATTGAATTTTCATTTTACTAGACCCAAACCATAATTCAAAAACAAAACCCCGTAGGGTCTTGAAATTTATTATTGTGTTTGGGTTCACAATCATTCTGCAACCCGCAGCATGAAGAACTGAACGGGTGTATATGCAAATGGGCGAATAAGAAAGCGAGCTAACTTTTTACCCGAAAGAATGAAAGCTGAAATGGAGGCAAATTTGGTGTATGTCATTTATGGCTACCAAACGCCAAACTACCCCAAACCTCACTTTACCCTATTCATCAATAACCCTACGCTACGATTTATATTTCACTTTCAATAGGACATACACATTAGCCTGCCTGCCTGCCTCCAATAATGTCATCTCAGCTCAGGTCCCAGAAGGCCAAAAGGTGGAGGGTACATATTGCCCTTTTCAGTGACCACTTTAAGAGAATGACAGACCTGCAAACTGCGCCTTCTTACTGCAATTTCTGCTTCAGGTTGTATTGTAGGCCAGCCAGAGATGGATTATAACTTCTTCACCTACGTCAAAATACACAGGCACATGGAAAACAAAACTCTGTCTCTTCTGCAATTCCCACCTGCAGAACTGTAGGCCATATATATAACACAAGTGCCACCAGCCTCTTTAACCATTGAATAGTAACAATCAAGAAACAGAGATCCCAAGTCTTTCTTCCAATCCATATGATACAACAAAATAGTAATCTGCTTATTTCTTCTGATCATCTTCACGATCGTAATATGTGGGTATAACTTCACATCACAAATGGGAAACAAGAAATAATAATTGAAATCCAACTCGCTGTACTTCCCACGTTCACTTGGTACGACTGGTGCTCTCAAGTAATTACACTGGCCCTATGGAAAGCCTTGCGGCTCCATAGGTACTTTTAAGTTTTGATGTGGTTGAATCCACCATTCTGTAGCTGTCTGGTTCCCTTCTTTCTGTCCAAAGCTTTCTCCTTTTTTTTCTCTTTGCTTGCATGTGGTTGCTCCTTTTTGTGTGATGGGAGCTTTTACGGCCATATAAGTAACGCATGACAAAATGAATATTGAATAGGGTATTATGATCTTCTATCTTCTTTTCTCCAATGACTGGATACAGGTCTTTCAGGAGGACTGACTAGCTTGCCTCTTTATGAAAGGTTTCTGGCACACGAGGAGTTTCTCCTCGCTATTGCTTTCGATGTCTACAACTCGGGCATCCCATTTCAACTTCGCCGTTAGAGCTCTTGATGATTCGATAAGTGCTGCTGAATCTCGAAGTATCACCCAACCCTGCAGATGAACAGACAACTAGCTTAAAACCGAATTCACAGTAAGTAGGTTCTGGTAACACGACTTGGCAGTTGGCGTATCATTCTTGCATAAGAAAATTGTAGGTTGGCTTGCCTCTGGACGAAGCAACCGATCAATCTCGAGGAATAAATCGAGCAAGGTGCACCTCCGCTGTTGACTTGCTTCGAGGGTCAAGAGTCCGTCGGCATGCACCAGATCATAACTTCTGGGGTATGTTGGGAATGCCTCGCACCTGAGACCAGCAATGTTAGACAATTCAGTTTGAGGACAACTTCGTAAGCCAGAGCCAACCTTCTCTCTTACATCTTCAATCCCCACGGGGACAAAAATATCACCTTGACTTGGAACTTGACACTAAGCATTTCGAACATAAAAGGAATGCCTCAATACAATGAACTTAACACAAGACAGAAGGAATTATGCAGAAAATCCAAAGGAATGTTCTCTTCACTATGACTAATCCACTTGTTAGCAGGTAATCTTGGAAGAAGAGAGCACATGCCAAACAAGTTGGATGATGCATGTCAAGACACCAATTTGCAGTTGACTTAAACACAACGTATGGTGGATCTTATATCATTCTCTTACAGTCCCAAACCCTAAATATGGTACCCAGGCTCTCTGCTATCCAATTTGATTCACAAATGCATTATTTCTCTTGGTACAGACCAAAGGTGTAGAGCTAGGTTAGACTTTTCACTTTCAGGGTAGGCAAAAACGTAAAGAACCAAGAAAGTAAAATACCGATAGCAAGGAGAGCATGAATATTTAGGAAAAAGAAGATGAAGGATAGACGTATAAAAGGCCGAGGAGGAAAAAGTTACCAATCATGCAATACACCAACAAAGCCACGGTCGAGTATCATAGGGAGATAGTTTGGTCCGCTTGTTGGAACCACATTCATAACCCAGACAGACTTCCCCGTCTCCAGCAGTGCAGAATTGAGACCACCAAAATGGGCATTCATATCGAGCACATTCCTGAGCATGTTATAAGGTGGTGAAGGATCTTCATCACCAGGTCTCTTCGGATGATCCGAAAAAATAATAGGAGAGAGAAGAGACCAATAATTTGTGACTGCTGCCTTCCATCTCTCACCATCCTCAGCAAAGTCCTCCAAGCTTGATCCTGGACAAGAAAAGTACTCCATAAGACGCGATATGAAGAGCAATAATGACAAACTTCTTAAAGTTTATGCTTTCATTACACTGTTCAACACCATGCAAACAATGATTGTGATTACCATGTGCTGCAAGCTCATTCTTGTTCAGGTGAGATCTAGAAGGCCAAGTTGCCCTTTCTCTAATGGGAATCCACCGACGACTCTGAGTTCCAGCTATGCATGCTTGCAAAGGCCGATAATGGGGAGACTCCACATCGTGGCTTTTGCTGCAGAGAGAAGGGCCTGAACCCGGCTTCCTACAGGAACAAATGAAAAATGGATCTTCTTATAACAGGTAGTGATGGCCGACGAGTTAAAGCAGATTTGTCAAAAGTTTCACCCAACTAAATATAACGCCAAAGGGCTGCAGCCGCCTGTACCTGGAACTGTAACAGCTCTTTTTGTCGGTCTTACTCCATACAACAGTTTCTTCTTCTTGAGACACCAGCTTCCAACATAGATTTTCGGCAAAATCTCGAATAAAGTTCCACCTTTTGATATTTTCCTTATTGCGAGCATTGGTGAGTGGTGAAGTCCAAACAAAATACCCTCCTGGCCTTAAAAGGCGATCAGCTTCGACCAAGAAAATACCATCTGCACCAAGCAGAGTAAATCCTCAGGAAACTAATGCAAGCATCTTGATCGCCAATAAAGTTAAGATGATTGTTCATCCCGGGGTGAAGGAAAGTATGAAAATGTTATGAAAGTTCAACCCTAGATTAGTGATATAAGAGGGCCAAGAAAGATTGAAGGAAAGCAGTCTGAAAATTAAGAGTGAAGTAAATACCTTTTTGGTCCCAATCGATGCCGCATCTTGCACAATGCAACATGTCAAATGAAAGAGAAGGATAGGGCAACTGTTTCAAAGTAAAGGATCCAATCATTGCCGGAAGGCCTCTTTCAAGAGTAAGCTGAACTTGACTGCCTGACGCCTCATAATTAGCAATGCACATAGTTAAAAGCTGCTTGGAAAAGAGATGTGCTCCAAAACTACCATAACCACATCCTATATCAAGAATCGTCCTGACCTGAAAAAATCACCACAATGCAGATTATGAGCACCACAAAGCATATTTCCAGCCCAGATTCGGACCGAGATTTAATTAAGTATTGAGATGACCCACGTACCCCAGCCTGGATGAAGTTCGATTCATTTCTCAGGCCAATCATTTCAGCAATTTGATGGGAATAATCTTCAACACCGTCAAACATAAGAGATGCAGAACGAAAAGAAATCTGATCTTCCTCTAGCATCATCATCCTGGAAGATAGTAAAAATAGAGACCTGAATCTAACATTTCTTCAACGATATCAGCTTAGACACTTAAAAAAACTCAAAATTGAGGATAATTGCTAGCTCACCGCTTAGTAAAACTACCAGACGAGAGCACCTCTTGCGCAGTGATCTTAACATTAGAAACCCAGATAACATCTCTTCCAGTAGGCCACCTAAGAGGGATCCGATAGTTCAAAGGCGGAAGCACCAAGCAATTCTGCCTTGACCCTTTCCCACATTGACGATCATTCTCATCTCCTTTGGAGTAACCCAATGCAAGATTCTCCGTAACATTGAAGCAAGGAACATAATTCTCAGATTCTTCCTCGGGACAAAAGTCCACTTCTTTGGTCTTGGAAGAACCAAGTGAGAGCTCCCCAATATCCCACAAATCGGAGACAAGCTGCTCCTGGAGCCGCCTGTAATTGTGAATGATTTGGCCTCTTGAGGTCGTGGAAATGGAGATTGTCCACCAAAAGGAACCGGTGAGAGCAAGAATTACAATGAGAGCTAAGCTCAGCCTTAGAAGGAACATGGCTAGTTTCTGCCTACTTCTGGGTGATCCAATGGTAAAGGGATCAGAAGAGTGTAAGCCGTTCTCCGTAGCAGCATATTTGGAAGGTGAGCTAGTTTCCGAGAAGAATACCCGAAAAGGAAACCTCAGGGATAGGTAGCTATTGTCTGGAGTAGAGGCACGAGTTTTGTCCAAATAATCCTCTTTTTCTTTGTCGGTTTTGTCTTTCATTTGCGAGTCCCATAGATCATCGTTGCTACCTGAGATCCGCACCCCACCTGATATGCCTCGATGGAGAGGCCGAGACATCTTGCTTCTGAAATCTGTTCAGATAAAGCAAAAATTAGACTGCGAGCAGCAGTAGAAGAAGAAGAATCATTCAGTAAGCTCAGTAGAACTCACTAACAAGCTAATGATTGCTTGCAAATAGCTGGAGCTAAGAGATTAAGCCAGACAACCCACAACTAAGCAGACAAAAAAGTTTCCCTTTTTATGCTTTGGCAAGTGCCATCTTGAGCAGAAGATCAAAATTGCCAACCAGTGACAGTAGATCCGAAGAACAGCAAAAGCAATTGGGGTTTTGAAAAACAAAAGGAGAAGCTTTTTTATTCACTGTAAAATTCCACAGCGAAAGCCCACAAAGCTGGAAATTGCAAAGCGAAAGGAAAGCAAGAAGAACAGGAAATCAAGCCTGGACTCGTGCTCAAGAGCTCAAATTAGGAAACTCTAGAAACTTAACTCAAAAACAAGATCAAACCCACCAAAACTCGCAGTAACAGACTACAAGGGCAGAGTAGAGTAGGAGACTAGGAGTAGAAGAAGGGCAACATCAGTACCTAAAGAAATCAGCGATAATGGCTGAAACCCACAAAATGGTGGGTGGAGGAGACAGCGCAGCGACGGTAAAAAGGAAGAAGGGGAGAATCAGGGGGAAATTTGGAAATGGGATTGTGCCATCAAAAGAAGCAAGCAAGCAACAAAGCCCTGGATTGCGGTGGGGGGAAACTCCTCTTTACTCTTTTAGTTATTGTTTTGTTCCCTCCCCTGTTTTCAGCTTTAGTTCGAGCTGCCGACCAACGCCGGTTCTCCGAGCTACCTCTCTCACAATCTCACACACTGTTTGGGTCTCCGTCGCCGCTGATATTAATTACTCCGCCGCGTGAGAGAGGGAGAAGAAATGTGGGTGAGTGAGAAAAGGGGGAATGAGCAGAGAGAGAGAGGGAGAGAGGAGATTTTGTATGGATCCAATCACGACAGGCTTTCTCGTGAAACCTCTCTACCAGCTGCTCCTTTCCCCGGTTTTTATATGGAGTTTTCTTCTTGGTTTCGAGATTATGAGAGAGTGAGGGAGGGGTTTAAATTCCTTAATGTTTAGTTAAGTTGTGGTTTAATAATAAAAGAAGAGGGGGCGTAATTAATAAAGTCGTCTTAATCACTCTGTCCCGGCTCTATCTACATTGCAACTAGCTGCTAATAAACGCGCTTGTCCCCGTAATTAAGAAGCCTCCATCCCAAATAGCAAATACCCTCTACAAAGGGGAGTCTGGACCCATGGCAATTTCTGATGTGATTTGTGCAACTCAATCTGTTTAACATGGGTATTATTCAACTTACATTAGCTTGAGGAGGGATATTATTATTGCTTTCGACCTGTCACGTCTAGTTCTCGATTAATTCTATCATATGATTTTATTTATCTTCTTTTAATTTTTCTAAAATCGTCATACTTTCATCTAAAGGACATTTATTTAGACTCAATTGCTCTTTCTACTATATCTATCATTCGTTTATAAAATGTTTTCTCTATATGCTCTCGTAAAAGAGCTAAATACCGACGTTCCTTTTTTTCAAATAACATGCTGTCATGTGACTCATATGGAATCTGATGCTGAGTTGTAGTTGTTCACGTCAAAGTTGCATTATTACAGTTGTAAACAATACAACGACTGCAACTATGATTGTACTACTGTTTGTTCGACGCAGACTACTATAACTCATATATGGGGAATGATATATATATATATATATATATATTTTTGTAAAAATTATATAAGTTTGGTTTTTAATTAAGCGTGCTACTTAATGGATTCGAATATGGAAAGTATATGTTCAAGAACCCTGTTCGTTTGCAATCACTGCTACTCGCCTACTCCTACAGCTTCATGGCTGACTAGCTAGTACAATTCATTGTTAGAATTAAAGCTGGCTATTTGGTCCGGCATGTTTGGTTTTACCTGAAACCGGACCGTATAACCCTGACCGAGACTGGACCGGGATAGGATAACAAACAATCCAATCCAATTTTCGGGCTGAGATTTGAGGTAAAAAACCGTTTAGGACCGGACCGAAAACCGGATAAAGACCGGATATGAGAGCCCAACACCCAAAATTTAACCTCCTCACTCTTTCAGGCCTTAGGCCACTCAAATCCCCTCTCAGACCACTCAAATCCCCACAAGCTCAATCTAAAATCAATACCGAATTGGGACTGAACCGGTTCAAGACCGGACCAGATCAAGACCGGACTGTATCCAATCCAATCATTGATCCTTATATTCACAAAAAGACCGGATCGGGACCGGATCAATTTGGACCAATTAAATCGGACCGGACCATATAGCCACCTTAATTAGAATGGTGCTCGTTGTTTGTTCCTTACCAATTAATTATATCCAAACTTCAAATCTCTTCTTCAGATTGTCCATTAAAGACTTTTTGCACCATAAACCTCCAAATTTGCAGCTGCTTGCAAACAAAAACAACTGCCAACCCATCCGAACACTAGAGGGACCCGGAATTGGTATCAAAGGTCAAAATAATGTATCATGCAATTGCAGCCACAAGATGATACTATGATAGTGAACACTTTCATGTGAGCAAGGTCGTCAAACCGATTTATATCATTATGCCGATCTAACAAACGGAATGATTCAATTGATGGTACAATTTGTGTGTGTCGAATGCAAAAGCCTATTAATAGTAAATGAATTTAATCATATATAGAACATATTTAAAAACGATCTACTTATAATTCATATTAATAAATTCGACATTCCTAATAAAATTACAAATATTCATATTTAAATACAACATTTAACGTCAAACGCGTAAATGTTTATACTTGAATCTAACATATAACATCAACATTTAACTTTTAAACACATAAAAAAATAACTCAAAATTTAATTAATCAAATTCACTGAAACGACGTCATTTTGCTTAGGCATCATAAATCAATCGATCATACCAGTGGCATACCCGGTTGCATGTGAGCTCTTTAAATTGGTACATGACTACATGCTATTGTTATTGAATGTCACTGCCCCAACCCAATATTAAGAATAAAACAAGGTAGGAGGTGCCGAATTTGGATTTACTCTTGCTCTGGGAACGGAGAGGTGTGTGGCAGAGCAGTAGATCTGAAACAGAATGATTATGAGAGAGAGACAGAGGCGAAGAATGAAAGAAGAGAGTGAAGGGAAGCCCGACATATAATGCCAACCCTATCCTCCCAATTCATGACAATACATTCTTTCCTATGAACAATTCCAACGTTCCCCTTCTTCTACGTTTCCCCTGTCCAGAGGTATGGTAATGATGTTAGTGTTGTGGTATATGATTCACGATTGAACATCTTCCAACAACTCGAGTTATTGGGAGTAACTGGTTCTTGACATGGTATCAGAGCCTTCTGTGATCGAGAGGTCTTGTGTTCGATTCCCGGTGACCCAATTTGTTAAGCACATGGTATTCTTGTCTTCAAACCTGTGCAAACTTCAAGCCCTTGTGAGTGGCTTTCGTTTGAGGGGGCGTGTTAGTGTTGTGGTATATGATCCACGATTGAACCTCTCCCAACAACTCGAGTTATTGGGAGCAACTGGTTCTTGACAAATGACTGGTATAGTACTGCAGGACTATAGTATATTTCAGGTCATATGATCGTTAGACGTATTTAGATGATACCCGATCAATCTCAACACTCAATTTTTGTTTTCTATTAAATTGAACTTCGGGTTTGGGTTTAGAGAACCGAGGCCCTGAGGTCCATTACAGGTTAGGGTATAATATCATGCCCCCCAAACTCGATTTACTTCATGGTCTAGATAGAGATTTCTCATTAGGGATACATGAAACTCTAATCTAAGCTAGTACATACCAGGGCCTAGAACATAAACCCAGCGTGTGTGTATAAGCCCCCCCCCCCCCCCCCCCCCCCCCCCCCCCCCCCCCCCCCCCCCCCCCCCCCCGGCAAACCCCGCTATCGAGGAACCTCGCTCCCAGTCCCACAAACCTGCTAACCGCGGGCAACTTCGCCTCTGAATCCCCCGACTCGCTGATTGGACAACAAAAACTCCCGTTTACTTTCACTCTCGATGAAGAATAATCCGATTCAATTCATGGGAATCTATACGTATTTTCAGTTACACAGAATCCAATTAGCTGCCTGTTGCAGAAACATTATTATTGTTGTTGTTATAATTAATGGTGGAGTAGTAGATAGAGACCAGCAAGAACCAACTAGCTAAGCTTTGCTAGCTAGGCGAAGGCACACCGTCACACCAGGGTTCAAACACATGCTTTCACCATGTGGCCAACAGCCAGCCCTGCCTCCTATCATTATAATCTTCAACTTTCCCTTCCAATTTTTCTATCATATTTGGACTCTGAGTTTACTTAATTAGGCCGAAAAGGACTCTGTCTCTCTCTCTCTCACACACACTCTCTTACTTATATGTATTAATTTGCTGCATACTCAGTCCAGCAAATCGAGTACGTACCACCGGCAGCAGCACCTCGAGAAGTTTCTGTCAATCCTTTTCACACACACACACAAGCCAAAGGAAAAACAAAGCTTCCTTACTCAGCCAGCATTATTGAAGTGCAATGTACGTAGCAAAAACAAAGAACAGAAAATGAAGAAAACCCACCACCGACATGTATAAATATTGATATCCAAGGCTTTGACAAGATATGAAATCAAGGAAAAAGAGGGGAGAGAGAGACCAAACATGTTACACCGTAATTTGTTGATTAATTAAAGTAAACTCGTCCATTAATTCTTGAGTTTGTTGGTCAACTCCACAATGAGTCAAAGTCGCATGCCCCACGAACCATGATGATATTCATCACATCCGAGCAAATTGCTGTCGACAACGGAAAGGAGTGAACCAACACCAGTATCGTAGTAGGGGTGTTCAAACGTAGTTAGGGGTAACCAACCGGTTAAACCGATAAACAGGCCGGTTATCCACTAACCGGTAATCGAACTTTGGTGGGTTATCAGAGGCTAGACGAAATGGTTTTTTATCTTAAAAGTGGGTTGGTTAACCGATAATCGAGATAATCGAGAAACCGAAGCCTATTTCAGGCGGTTTTCGGTAGGGATGACAAATTACCCACCCATGGGTAATTATACCCAAACCCAAGTAGACCCATTGATAATGGGTTGGGTATGGGTGAAGTGCATATGGATTTGGGGGTTTATAGATGAGTTTTGGTTTGGGGCTTCCATAATCTAAATGGGTATGGGTTGGATATGGATATCCATTTACTTGAGGGTGATTTAACTACACATGCAAAAATTGGACTTATTTGCAAAAATTGAAAAGTTTAGGTACCAAAATGTAAGACCAAAAAAATTTAGGTACCAAAACGTAATTTTCCATCGATATTTTGAGGACTTATATGCAAAAAAAATTAAATTTAGGTACTAAATATGCATATCTATTAAGTTTGGGTACCAAACTGTAATTTGTATTTGGGGATGGGTACAAACCCAAATCCATTTGATATAAACCCAACTCAACCCAAAGTAAATGGGTATGGGTACAAACCCATCAAACTCTACCCATATCCATCTATTTGGATTTCATATCCAACCCAATTGGTTTGGATAGTAAGAAACCCATGGGTATGGGCAAAGTTGCCATCCCTAGTTTTCGGTAGGAGGAGTGGTTATTTTGGTTAACCGATAACCGGCCGATCGATTATCGGTTATAACCGAAATGCCACCCCTAAACGTAGTAGTATTCAGATTATTTGGCTAACTCGTACCATTGCACAAACACATCCCATTTATTAACTCGTAACATTTGTGTGTATTTTGTTAGGTGGCTACTTTTAGTGACTCGAAGATAATTATATTAGTTGCATGAATTTATGTTAAGGGTTAACTATGTGTTAACTGTTATGTATTATTAATTATATAAATAACGGATTGATGCATTCACAATATTTTTTTTTCGCGTACTGGCATTGTTATGTTATATTGGCTATAACTAGGTTAACCATTTAACCAAACCGATTAAAATTTTAGTTTGATTAATTTGGTTGTCATATTAATTTGGTCAATTTGAGTATGATTGTATTCGATGGTTAATAGAACTTAAGCGTAATTGATTTGGTAATTACCATATTTGAACACTTTTATGTAGGGAAGTGGATTTATGTTCCTGATCTTACATACCACTCCCTTGAGGTTTTCCTATAACAGCAAAAAAAAACATTTGTGTCTTCCTCTCTTGCAAGTTACCTGTGCTTTAATTGATTACACTTCAATTTTACGAAACATATGAATAAATCTGTTTGAATAAAGTTTTTAACGAGGGAATTAATACACTGGATCTAAATTAACTTACAAATTATCCTATTTTCGTAAGGAATTTTTCGAGAGATCAGCAATAACTATCACTACTCTACTCTCACGGAATTGTTTTTGAGAAGTGAAGGTGGGTAACACGACCTAGCTAATCAGGATGATGCAACACGATGG